CAAACTGACACTACTATAACTGAAACAAATAACTACACTGCTGTCCTACGAACACAGTGGGGACCACTGCAGTGGGGCCCACATCAGTGTTCTCTACAGGATCTACTACCTTATTATAAAAATTTAGAAATATCAAGGTAGTCTAACATGTTAAGCGATGAGTACAAATGACCACAACACTTTCACTCAACCCTCTAATAAAATACAAACATGCTATCAATCAAATAAAAAACCAAATCACCCAGTGAGTGCATGGCCGGGTGATTTGGTTTCAATGATTTCACATGGTCACAACACTTTCTTGCAACCCTACAGTAAAACACAGACATCATCATCGTCGTCCATGCCTTATCCCAACTATATGGGGTCAGCTAAATGAATCCTGTTTCGCCAATCCATTCTATTTAAACCATATCCTCTGTTAAATTATTGGTGCTTAAATCATTTCTTACTACTTCTACCCATGCCCTTTTTGGCCTACCCCTAGCCCTTCCAACCCCTTCAACTTCTAACAAATCACTTCTTTCATCGTTTCTTTTCTTTTTTTTTTCTTTTCTTAGGACAAAAATAGAGGCTCATCCCTTCTATTTTCTGAATTTTCTTTTTTTTTCCAAATTTTTCATGAATATGTTGATTTTCTATGTTTTAAATGAAGCTTATATATTTTTTATGAAGATTATAGACAATTAATAGTGAAGGATGGTAGCTACTTGCTAAGGGAACCTAGGTAATTACCCTAGAATTCATGGTTTTTATTCAAAAAAAAAAAAAAAAAAAACATCACCTAGGCAACGAGGCTACAAGGCACCCACTATCGCCTAGTCTCACCTCAACACCTTGAAAACTATACTTGTATTCAATAACTCAAAAACAGGGGGGGAGGGGGGATGTACATTAGAAGATGTACAAGGGCAATGAAAACATACACACACACACACACAAAAAAAAAGAGAGCCCAAGCTAAAAGATTGGCATTGTACTAATGCAATTAATTTTCTGATTTCTATATGGTTCTATACATGCATTTTTGCCTTTTTGAATGCATTAATACAACTCATTTCTTACACATCAAAGAAACTTTACATGTTATTATAGGTACCTCAATATACTTTCTCCATTTTCCAGCAGCCAAAAGATTCTTCAACAAAACTGAATAGGTCCCTATGTTGACATCTGCACCTGATGCCAGTATTTTGTAAAACAGCTGCAAATTGTGAAAATGAAAATTAATACTGCTTTTCCAACTTCACCCCAAGGATGATAAATAACAGACAATTGCTATGCCTGAAATTTTTAGTTGCAGAAATCCTGGGTAGTGCAATCTTCAGCAAAATGAGACTGCATCTGGACTTGGGGAAGACACAGCTATACAAATCTGAAAATTCGTTTAGTAACTATATCAAGACTCTTTAAACAGGAATTTTAGACAAATTTCTGGAAATTAAATTCCAAGAGAAAAGGAAGTAAATGAACAAGACTTGAAGCCTTTGTGCTTAAGCAGAAAATATGGCCCTAGATAGTGTGGAGAGGCATAACAAGACACATGAAGCCAACCAACCATTGTTAGGTTGAGACTCAGAAATAAATAGAGTAACAGAACTATGTTTCTTCCCCGGCATATATGTAATTAGGTAATGAAAATGATAAAACTGAAAGACCAAAAACTTTACCATTGGAAGATAATTACTCCATCAAGGATGAAAGATAATTCTTTTGAAAAAAGAAAAGAATCTTATACCACTTATCAAAAAAAAAGACAATTCTTTTAAAATATTTAATTAGCTTTTCTTTCTTCTGAAAAAATATTTGACAAAATCAATATATAGGAGGGAAGGAGGGAAATCAATGTCTTTAAATTTCCTTTCTGAGATAAATGAAACAAAATTTCAGTTATTTGATATGCCAATTGAACCTGCAAAGTAAAGAGTGATATTATCCTTATAATCTTATTACAAGTTAGGAATTAAAGAAAGGAACAATATGAGAGAAAAAATACGTTTAGTACCTTCATCATGGTCTCAATCTTTCCACTTTTCCCAAGGAAATGCAGAAGATGATTTATTAATCCAACTGAGACCTCTGAGAATGACACCTCCATCACTTCAATTAGGTCCATTGCTGTTCTCCAGTCTCGTAGCCTTATGGAAGTTCAAATAGTTTAGGACAATTTAGGACAAGTAAATATGTTCTCATTCTAAAACAATAAATATCCTCCAAAATACAAAGAAACTGATGGATATATCAAAGTGAATGAGCACCATCAGAAAGTAGCTAACACGGTGACACCAACAAGAATTTTATCAAATAAGAAAAGCAGCATGGCATATGCAACTTCTTTAGTGCCATCATGCCCATGTCTACAGTGTAACAATTATAGGCAAAATATCATCTATCTAATGTACAAAAACATAAATCTTACATGCTACAGGCTGATATAATTTCAAAGAAAGTGGCTTCAATGAAAGGGATTTTTCTCTCTCTCATCAACTCTGCCAGAAGAAGAACCTTGGATGGTTGGCATCCTCTGTTAAAAGCTTTCATCAGTGAAGAGCATGCAATAGAATCAGGTTGGATACCATCCATTTCCATTTCTTCAAATAGAGCACATGCTTTCTTCCAGTTTTCTGCAAAATGCAAAATCCAAGTAAATGGAAATTAAAAGGGTTTCTCCAAGCGAGAATCTGATCACCTCAGTATCTTTAAGTGCAATCCAACCTGCTGCATTATATGCATGTATCATGGCAGTATAGGTTATGACATCAGGACTACAGCCATCCATCTTCATTGTTGTGAACAAAGATTCAGCTTCACCAAGTTGGCCCTGAAAATTAGAGAGAAAGGCTTTAATGAATTTTGTTAATCTACCATTGAGGCAAATGAATCTTGTAAAAACACTTGCCTTTTTGCTGTAAGCACAGATTACAGATGAGCACACCTCATTAGATAAAGGAATTTTTAAATCCATCATCTCACCCAAAAAATTGAGTGATTCGTCATACTTTGCCATTTTGCAAGAGCCACTTATTAGTATGCTGAAAGTGGCAGAATCAGGTTTAACTTTCTTTCTTCTCATAGATCTATACAAGGTTAGAGCTTTTTCATACTCCCCTACACTCAAATAGCTACCAATAGCTGAATTATATGCAACAGTGTTCAATTCAATCCCTCTCAACTCAGCTGCAGAAAGTACAGAATCAATTTTTGTCAATTGACCACAGCGGCCACAGGCCGCCAAGAGAGTGCATATTGTGACAATATTTGGTTGAACTCCATCACGTTCCATTTCACGCAGCACCTCCACAGCCTCAGCTAACAAACCTTCAGATCCATACGCATCAATCAGTGCATTGTAACTCACTAAATTGGGCTTCCATGAGTTCTGTCTCATCATATCAAATATTTCTCTGGCCTTTTCAGGTTGGTGTGATCTACCATAAGCATTAAGTAAAGAAGTATATGACACAACATCAGGCCGAATGCCAGAACTTTTAAGTTCATTAAAAACTGACAGGGCCTCTTTATGCATTCCATGCAAGGCATATGCACCAATAAGTGAATTATAGGAAACAATATTTGGTTTTAAACCTTCAGCAAGCATCATGTCAAATACAGCCTTGCAGTTTTCTATCTGTCCACAAAGAGAATATGCATGAATAATACTTGTAAATGTTACAATATCAGGGCGACACTCAGCTCTTTTCTCCCTCATTGAGTTGAAAAGGTCCACAGCTTTCCCATATTGTCCCAGCTTTGCCAGACAGTCTATGACTATGTTAAGGGTGATTGTGTCAGGATGGATATTTGTCCCTTTCATTAATTCAAAATAGGACAAAGCCTTAGAATACTGAGCCCCATTTTTGTATGCAGATAAAACAATATTGTGTGTCACCAGATCAGGCCCAACTCCATTTTCTGTCATTTTCTTGCAGATTTTCAGAGCCTCTCTCCAGTGTCCACTTGATCCACAAGCATTAATAAGATTATTGTATGTTGACCGACTTGGAGGAATCTGCACCCATATTCCAAAGGATAATTAAAAGTATAAGAATCTACATTCAAATTCTACAAAAAGATAAGCTTCAAATCAGCAGCTTGTCCACTTCCAAATCAAGTCCTAGTATAGCTTTAAGTAAACTGCTTAATTTTTATTTCTTCCAAGACAATGAAATTGATGAGGTATGGAAAACAAATAGTGTTAATGAGAGGGTGTAATGATGTGCAAAAAGTGTGAAATAACAATCTCCCTTCAAACCATAAAATATAAGAAAAATGAAAAAAAGAAACTAGGTACGTAAATAACTAAATACTTGTTATTGTATAAAAGGCCCTCTCTACCAAAGACATAGCTAGGTCATCTAGAATAGAATTCAACTCTCTAGTAATCCTGTATTCAGAGAAGATGGCAACCAAGGTTCGACCTTTTATTTATTTATTTTTTTATTGATAGGTAAGATTTGCCACCTTTCATTTTTTATTGACGGGTAAGATGTATCCTATTTCATTAGGATAAGGTTCCATGGACCTTCTACACCTTGGACATATCTAATAGCACTACCTGAATCCCCTTCTAAATAAGAGGTGAGGCTAGCTTGTTTGACTACCCACTTGTCAAGAGGATGAGGACCACAGCTTTAGTAAAAGCCATGTCTCCTATGGGGCCGCTGTAAGCCCAAAACTCACTACCATCAAATTTGAATGCCCCTATATGCCTAAGGGTCCTGGATTAACTTGTGAGCTCCTATCAAAGTGTAACTTATTCAGAAGGAGGATAGGAACCCAATTAAGGGGGTCCACCAAGTTCCTTCTAAGACATTAGAAGAGATGCCTAAAAAGTCCTTCAATGATTACAATAAACTAGGGAGAGATAGGATGTGACCCCTTAGCAATTATCAACAATTTCAAGGAAACCACAAACCACATTTATAGCCTCATAGGATGTCATCTTGTATCATCCTATTTTAGCTTATTTTAATAATTCATTAATAAAAAATCCATGCTCAGGAGGCTTACACTGGCATTCTGGTTTACACATCACGCCTCAGGATGGTAGAATGCCTTGTGTCATGCCCCCATGTTTTAAAACATTGGAATGGACACATGTATGAAAATAAAAGCATCACTCTACTAGAAAAATTGTGGCCTATATCCACTCAATGGTGGTAGAATGGGTTTGGCCATTTGGGTGCATCCTAAATTTGACAATAAAGATGGAGAACCTCTGATATCTTTCTTTTTACAGTAAAGGTAAAAGTATATTAAAATAACATAAAGGAAAATAGGGCTTTGTGGCCCAAGCAAAATAATTAGGACCAATTTGAATGTATGGTATACAAGGAAATAGAACCTCCAAATGATGTATACCTCTCATTCCTTAGTTACAGGTGACTTTGAATATTGTCATGAGTGATGTTTAAGATTCTTAATGGTTTCTTAAATAAATTATTTTGTTTTCCTTTTTTTTCTAGTGAAACCTCTTCACCTTCTCAAGGAATAGTTCCCCTTGCTTTATTCTTTGTCAACATATAAGAGAGAACCCATCTCAAAATTCTGGTTTAATTCCATTTCCAGGCTTATTTGGGACTTTGGTTTAAGAAGAGACTAAAAGAGAGAGAATGTTCTTCTCTAATTGACCTGTTGGCCAAACTTGGTACAATTTTCTTGGACAAACATACAGAAGGCAGTAGGGTAGGGTTTGTTTCTCAAATAGGTGTTTTCTCTTGTGCTTCTTTTTTTAGCACCTTCACCCACTCAAACATTCTAGGGAAAGATTTCCCAGTGAAAGAGATTTGGAGTAGACCTATTCCCCCTAGAATCCAAGCCTTTTATTGGGAAGCTTTCCTTGGTAAAATTAGTTCTTGTGATGTGCTCCATAGAAGAAGACCTAATAAATGCCTTTCTCCCATATGTGCATTCTTTGCAAAGCAAGCAGTGAGACCATTCCCCATTTACTAATCTCTTGTTCTTTTGTGAATTGTGTTTTTTTTATAAAATAAAATTTCATTAAAAGAAAAAAGAGATGCATCAAACTAGGTGCATTTGTTCTCTCTTTGATTGCAGATGGGACCCTCCTCAAGATGTGGCAACCCTCTTTAGCTCAAGTTTTCCAAGGCAGCTGAAGAAGAGAGGAAGAATTATGTGGAGGGCAGTTAGAGAAGCCTTAGTATGGACAATATGGGAAAAATGAAATGAAAGAATATTCAAAGAGAAGAGTAAGTCCAAAGAGTTAATAGTAGAGAGCATAAAAGTAAAATTTGCACATTGTAGGACTTTCAAGGATTTTCAATGGATGACATAATAAGATCTTGGGGAGCAATGGAAAACTCTTCTATAGTGAAAGGTAAAGTTGTGATAGAGTGGAAACCTCCTCTTACCAATGTGGTGAAGCTGAACTGATGGAAGCTTTCTAGGCAATCCAAGCCCGACGGGTATTGAGGGTGTCTTCAGAAATGCAGAATGCAAGGTGTGGCAATGTATTCAGGCCCAATTAGTTTGGATATTATTTGAAAGGTGAAATATTAGTATTTCTACAAGGTCTAAGGATAGTAAGCAGCTCGGGTTACAGCAAATGGAGGTGGAGGGAGAGTCAAAGTTGGTCATTTCCTGGACAAATAATAAGAATTCAGGTGTTTGGGAATATAGGCCAACACTAAGGGAAATCAACCATTTAGCTAAGAAAATGGGAGCTGCCTTCAGATGGGTTAAAAGGGCTGCAAACAGGATAGCAAATTTTTTAGTTAAGCAAGGGGTTCATAGGCAGCAATTGTTCTGGACTGAACATTCATTGGCTTAAAGTTGTAACAGGAAGGTTTTTCTATCAATAACAGAACCAATTCATTAAATTAAAAATGCACGGCAGTACAAGGATTTTGACCTTGTAGAAAAAAATTACACTGTCGCCCAAAAAAACTGATTTCTCCTAAAGTAAGGCCGGAGTGGAAACCACCTGAAGGCAATAAAGTAAAGCTGAATTTTGACGGGTGCTCATATGGAAATCCAGGCATTTCAGGATTAGGAGTATTAAGAAACCCTGACAGGAGGATATTGGGTATGTTCTCAGGGCGGATTGGCAACAGTAACTTGCTGAAGGCTGAACTATTGGCATTACTACAAGGGTTAAAGCTAGCCAAACAACTAGGATGCAGACATGTTGAAGTGGAAGGGGATTCAAAAGTAGTAATTTCATGGGCAAGAAATAGCAGCCACACCCCATGGACATTTAAACATGTGATTAGGGAAGTGGAGAAGATTGCCAAGGAGGTAGAGGCTGAATTTAAATGGGTCCGAAGAAGTGCAAATGGGCTAGCTGATGGATTAGCAAAACAAGGGGCATTGAGACAGCAATTATTTTGGGCTACACTGTAATGAGGGATGAATAGAGTGAGGAAAAGGGATCAACAGTCCCATCATCAAATTGTATAAAATGCTTACAATCTGGATTTTAATAAAACACGTATTTACTGATTAAAAAAAAAAAACGATTTCTCCCCACCCCTTGTTTAGCCAAACAGTCGGCAAATGAATTAGCATCTCTTTTCACCAATTGTATAATGACCTCCATGTCTTGTAGCAAGCTTCTAATTCTTCTCTTCTCAAAGATGTAGCCCCACCATCCAACATCCTCCTCTTTTTGCAGCCAATTAATAACCATCTTGGAGTGTCCTTCAATCACCAGTTTGCGAATAAGTAATTCCTTAGCCTTCTTCACTCCTTCCAACACCACCATTATTTCAGCCCTCAAAGAGTCACCCTACCCAATTGAGCCTGAAAAAAGAGCAAGTACTCTACCACCCTCATCGCTGAATACTCCTATACACCTTAAGGACCCAGATTTCCTTTGTTGGGAATTAACTTCCAATTTTGATGTGTACTCTTAACCATTTCTTTTAATGAAATTCTGTGTTACAGATTAAAAAAAAAACTTCTTTTTCATTAATGGAATTTTATCTTATTATCAGAAAAAAACTAATTGTTCGAGTATGAGGGCATTTCTGTCCTTTATGAATATTTGTATTTGGGCACCTATTCAAGGGCACCTTTGTAATTTTTTCTTGTGAAGAAAAATGAAAAGTCTCTTGGTGTGAACAGTAACACACCAAGCATTCTCAACACTTCCTTCTTCTCTTCTCTCTTCAACATCTCTAAACCTTCGAACTTGGTATCAGAGCATCATACAATCAAAGAAACTATCTGCTGCGGGTTGTGGCTCACAAACAGACCTGCTGACATCAGCATGCTGCCGGTTGATGTCAGGAATCCGTACAGTTGGCAGCATCCTCATGGGTTTTTTATGGTCGCTGATTCGCTCTGATTTTAGGGGAATTTTGGTATAAGTTTCATGGTGGTTTGAAGCTGTTTTGGATTTTTTGGATGAAAATTGGCAAAAAATCCAGATCAATAGTTTAGGGCTTGCATGCTTGTATGGTGGGTTGGTTGCTACTGAAACCTCTTGTATTTGAGTTGTGGTAAACCCCTAGGACTGCAAGAAGTAGTCCTGAATTTTTTGGAGCCCTAAAAATTTTTTGGGAAATTCTTTATTCCCATGTTTTGCCGCCAATACCTATTTTTCCTAGTTTTTTTGGCTGTAACTCGTGTCTAACCCTGTGGGAAAGGTGTTTGGGAGTTCAGCTGGTGTTGGAATACTATGGTGCTGGTGAGAAATATTTTTTTGAGGGCTTGTGATCGATGGGCTCACACAAGGACGTCTGTGTACCTACCTGTGTTCTCCCGAGAAGCAATGACAATGCCGGAGGGCAGATTACTGCTGCAAAACTTGATGGAACAAATTTTCTTGAATGGTCTCAATCAGCCAAGCTTACGATCGGTGGTAGAGGTAAAATCGGATTTATTACCGGTAAGGATGCTAAGCTGAAGCCTGAAGATCCAAACTATTCCAAATGGGAAGCAGGATAATTTGTTGGTTGTATCATGGCTTGTATGCTCTATGCAGCCACACATTGCCCGTAACTATATGTTCCTTCCGACAGCTAAAGATATTTGGGATAGACTAACTGCAACTTATCCTCAAGTGAAAAACACTGCCAAAATCTATCAATTGCGAACAGAGGAATGTAATATGCAATAGGGGGAGAAATCAGTGACCATGTATTTCTCCTCCTTACAATCAATTTGGGAAAAAATTGATCATCTTGAGGCTTTGGAGTGGAAGGGTCCTGTTGATGCTGAACAGTACAGGAAGTACATTGAATAAAACTGAGTTTTTTATTTTCTTGTTGGGTTGAATGCTGATTATGACTTCACCAGGGAAAGGTAAGATTAGTATTGCCGATGGATCCCACACCCCAATATCAGGTTTGGGTGAAGTTGAACTTACCAATAACGTTTCTCTGAACTCTGTACTCCATGTTCCACAATTGCATAGAAATCTTTTATCTGTTAGTTCTCTTACAAAGTCTCATAATTGCTCTGTAACATTCTTTCCATCTCATTGTGTCTTTCAGGACCTGAGTAAGGGGATGACGATTGGCGGAGTTTATCTTCTTGGTTAGTCTCCAATGTTAGGGTTGATGTGTTAGTCTGACTCTTGTCATGATGAGAAACTAAGTCAATTGAAATTGTGGCATCACCGTCTTGGGCATGTGTCTTTTGGTTCCTTGAAGTTTTTGTTTCCTAGTTTGTTTGAGTCCTTGTCTAGTTCTGGTCTACAATGTGAAGTCTGTCAACTATCAAAGCAATGTAGAACCACCTTTTTTGCAAGTAACAAAAGAAATAATGTTGCTTTTTATTTAATACATGTTGATGTTTGGGGACCTTATTCTATTCCATGTATGGGTGGCTGTAAATATTTCATTCTCTTTGTTGATGACTATTCGCAGTATACTTGGTTGTATTTGATGAAGAGTCGAGATGAAATTCCTTCCATTGTGAAAGGCTTCTTCAGTATGGTGGAGACACAATTTGAGAAGAAGATCAAGATTATTAGATCCGACAATGCCAAGGAGTACTTTGAGAAGCACTTACAATCCTTCCTTGAAGAAAAAGGATTCACCAGAGTTCCTGCCCTTATACTCCCCAACAAAATGGGGTGTCGAAGAGGAAAAATAGGCATGTGATTGAAGTTGTCAGAGGCTTGTTATTCCATATGCATGTTCCAACTCGGTTTTGGGGTGGGGGGGGTGCTACTCAAATAGTTGTATATCTTATTAACAGACTTCCCTCGCAGACCCTGCACCTCTAGTCTCCTCATTAGCTTCTTTTTCCTGATGAGGATACATTCCATCTTCCTCCCAAGGTTTTTGGGTGTGTCTACTTCATCCATGACATGAGTCCTTTTAGACTGAAATTTGATTTAAAGTCTATCAAGTGTGTCTTCTTGGTGTATTCTTCAATCCAAAAGGGGTATCGTTGTTATGACCCTTGTTCTAGAAAACGGTATGTGTCCAAAGATGTCACATTCTTTGAGTCAACTCCCTTCTCCGTCTCTCGTCCTTCTCTTCAGGGAGGGAGAATGTTAGTGAAGATCAGACTCCTTTTTGTATGCCGATTCCTGCAACTGATGTCAATCCTTCTTCTCCTCCACCTCCCTGTGGTGGCAGTAGTCCTCCTCCTTTGCCTCCTCATATTCCTTGGTCTTGGCATTAGTGGTTCATTAGACGAAAAAAGATGATGACTCCAGAGATTGAATGTCCATTACAATCTAACCTCCCGAACTTAGGTAATTTGGATTTTGAACCTCTTCCTATTTCCGATGCATGTGTTGAATCCGTTGTTGAGCCTCCTCTTATAGATTATGACCTTAACCTTCCTATTGCAATTCGTAAAGCAAGACAGACATGTCCTAAGTATCCTATTTCAAACTGTCTCTTATGATACTTTATCACCCTCTTATTGTGCCTATATCTCTTCTATTTCTTCTATTTTTATCCCTCACAATGTTATTGAGGCAGTGTAGTTCCCTCATTAGAAGGATGCTATGAACCAGGAAATGGAGGCACTCGAAAAAAACCAGACATGGGAAATTGTTTCTCTTCCAGAAGGCAAAGTTCCTTTTGGATGCAAGTGGGTTTACACAGAAAAGTATAAAGCTGATGGTTCAAAAGGTATAAAGCTTGACTTGTGGCAAAAGGATGCACTCAGTCTTACGGTATTGAGTTATCATGTCTCTTGCTACCCACTATTCTTGGCCCTTGTATCAAATGGATGTTAAGAATGCCTTCCTTAATGGAAATCTTCAAGGAGAAGTTTACATGGAACTTCCTCCAGGGGTGAACATCCCTAGGAGTGAAGGAAAGGTTTTTCGTTTGAAGAAATCCCTTTATGGCCTTAAACAGTCCCCTGAACTTGGTTTGACAGATTCAGGAAAGCTGTCTTAAAAATTTGCTTCTCACAATCACAAGCTAACCATACCCTTTTATTCGGAGAGCAAATGGAAAAATAACTATGTTGATGATATTGTTATCATAGGGGGATGATATCTCTGGGATTGTTGAACTGAAGTATTTCCTTACTACTGAATTTGAAATTAAGGATATCAAAAACCTCCGGTATTTCCTGGGGATTGAGGTCACAAGGTCAAAGAGGGGCATTTATGTTTCTCAGAGGAAATATGTCCTTGATTTTCTCCAGGAGGTAGGAAAATTGGATTGTAAACCGGCTAAAACTCCAATTGATCCCAATCATAAGTTGGGAGTTGATGATGGAGATGTCCTTCCTGACAAAGGTGTGTATCAGAGACTTGTCGGTCGCCTTCTCTACTTGTGTCTGACTAGACCAGATAATATCATATGTTGTAAGTGTGGTTAGTCAATACATGCACAAGCCTAGATCATCTCATATGCAAGCAGTGAATAGAATACTTGCCTATTTGAAGGGATGTCCAAGAAAGGGGATGTTGTATTCTAGTCATGGGCATCTGAAGGTAGAGGCCTATTCTGATGATGACTAGGCAGGTTCTATTAATGATAAGCGGTCTACTTCTAGCTATTGTACTTTGGTGGGTGGTAATGTCGTATCTTAGAGAAGCAAGAAGCAATCAGTTGTGGCTCAATCTAGTGCAAAGGCAGAGTACAGAGCTATGGCACATGGTGTCTCAAAATTGTTGTGGCTGAAGAACTTGTTGATAGAAATGGGAGTGTAGATTGATACTCTAATGATATTATATTGTGACAATCAAGCTGCCATAAACATAGCTCACAATCCTGTACAACATGATCGTACAAAACACATAGAGGTTGATCAACATTTCATTGGAGAAAGAATTGCTAGTGGAGAGATTTGTCTACCTTATGTGAGGTCTGAAGACCAGTTGGCTGATTGTCTTACTAAAGGTGTTCCCAAATCAAAGCTCGACAACAATTTGAACAAGTTGGGCATGATAAATATATATGCTCAACTTGAGGGGGAGTGTTAAGAGTATGAGGGCATTTATGTCCTTTATGAATATTTGTATTTGAGCACCTATTCAAGGGCACCTTTGTAATTTTTGCTTGTAAAGAAAAATGAAAAGTCTCTTGCTGTGAACAGTAACACACCAAGCATTCTCGACATCTCTAAACCTTCCAACTCTAACTCTAATAAACCTTCCAACTCTAATAAACTATTGATAGTCAATTATAAAGAGAATATGTCAAGACAATATCAATTTTTATGGTAAATGAAAAATTATTAAAAGAAAAAGACTATTACACGGATAGGTGATGAGGCACTGCCAATTAAGATAAAAACCACAACTGCTCCTATAAAAGAAAAGACCCCTAAAAAAGAAATGCATGAACAATATATACCCCACTCCCTTGCTATTCACATTTACATCCATCTCCTATTAACCTGTTCTCCTCTCCAAACTTCCTTATCAGATATATTAACCTTCTTCATTATGCTAAAGTTTGGAGAGAATAACGGGTTAAATACTTAAATATGGAAATAAAAAGAATAATGTTCATGTTTGTTACATTTACTAAGACTGATCAAGTAGGAAGAGTACAAATACACACAGCTGCACGAAGCATGTCATCCATGATATTCATAGCCCAACGCCATTGACCAGCTCGACCATGTGCATTAATGAGAGCATTGTACGTTTCAGCATCAGGTTTGCACCTAGTGACAACAATTTACAGGATAGAATTGTTAATTGTTAAGTCACAAAAAGTAAAGATGGTTAACTAGATACACTTCTAATAACTAGTCTAATATGTTACAAACCTAAATTAGATGGACAGATAAATCAGTCAATTCCAACAGTAAACAATGACAATTACATGAGCTTGTGATGGTAAATACCACTTATTTGTTTGTTTTCTCTTAATTATTAACAGAACCTTTTGGCACACATCAAAAAAATGGAAATTTTGTTGAAAGATGGAGGGGGGAGGAAAAGGGCCCTAAACAACACCTGATTCTACCATGTGAAGAAATCATGTGAGCAATCCAGACTCTCCACCAGATGTTACCCCTTAGGATTGACCATGTGCAGATCCCCACAGTCTACATCAGTTCGATGCTCCAACTTGCATTAAATGGTTGCCTGATTAATAACAGCCCCCTAAACTTTCAATTTTTCAATAAATAAAAGCTTGTTTTGGAGAAATGGACAGGTCTTTTGAGCAGAAGTTTATCAATATAGGATGAGGGGAGGAATAACAAATTGTCTATAAATATACATATGTATAAAGAAGGTAATGAGGCACAGCCTTCATATGCAAACATACACATAAACATTAGGATACAAGTAAGAACAGAAAGGCAAGCACCCTACACATAATTTACAACAGTATCAAAAAAAGATACCAAATTTATACCCATCCAAAAAACAGAGAGCCCAAATTCTAATCCAAACGATGCCCAATTTGTTTCTTCTATTCCACTCTCTCCAAATTCCCCAACAGGTTGTAAATGGAGTCATGCTCCATACAATCTTTACCTTTTACCACCAGAAATGTTATGGCCAAGAAACAAATATCTCATGAGGATGATGAAATAGACTGATCCTTAGTTGCTTAAACAACTAAGGAAGTAGGATAAAATGAAGTCTGCCACCTTGTAAAGAATGAACAAATGCATGGCAGTTTCCTCAAAACTCTTGCACATGAAGCACAAGCTTGCCAAATGATACCCTCTAGATTTCAAATGGTTAACTGTCCAAAACTCCAAATGATGTCAAATGACAATAACCAAGCAAAAGCCTCAATTCTTAGAGGGATAGGACTACCCCAAAGGCTCTCATTATGGAATGTTCCACCTGATTTCTGAACAAAAATTCATGATAAGATTTCAATTTGAACATCCTAACGTACATTCTTTCCACCATCTTGCATCAGCTAAATCAGGCTTAATCTTCGATTGCTTCTAATATACTGAACAAATTGACACATTTATCCAATTCTCTGTCTAGGAGTGGTCTTCTCAATGTTGGGTGCCATACCATCTAACCTCTCCTTGTTTCAAAGCACTGACTTACTGTGATATCCTTAGAGCTCAATTGATATAACCTACGATACATTCGTCACCTCCATCCTTGGCCATGGCAGTCATCCAGTCATCAGAATGACCACAACGATGGCAATCTTATATCACTGTCAACAGAGTAATCAAAACCACGAGGGTCAGGCAGTCAAGCTCTTAGGGAACCATATTTGATGAAACACTTAGTGTTAAATCTGTGATCAAATTGCTGCCTACTTCTAAATTTCTTTAAATGATAGTCCTCTCTTCACGTTCCTTACAATTTAAGCCAACAGATATCATATCTATTGAGAAAGCAAAATTGTTGGGTCAAACTCCTGCTGCTAATTACCTTCTCTTTTTGCTTAGCTGAAACACTAGGTTCATTCCAAAACATTAAGCAGTAGTTGGGCATGATTCTTTTGAGAAATGCTAGGAATGTTGCTGGGGGAGATATAGATTTTTGCTCCTTAGGGATTTGGCCACAAAAGGTTATAATCTATGGATTTTTTTTGAAGAATCAAGAAAAAAATTCATTAAAAGAAAAAGATTACATCCTAACACCCGTAGTTGTCTAGATGACACACCAAATACAATCACAAAGGATTCTGCATTACAAGGCTGTAAATCAAGGAAATTCCAGAAATTTTCAAACAAATCAGCTTTGGAGACTTGATCACATTGCCCATTCCTGCTATCAAAAATTCAAAGCTCCACCCATTCACCTCCCTCCTCCTTCCTTCTTTCGTACCCCTCACCATCCAGCTAAGAAACCTCAACTTCCTCCCACTCTCCTTGTCTTCCCACCAACCCCAAGATCACTCAATCTCGTCCAGTCCCTCCTCTTCTCCCCCTTCTTTATCCCACCCCTTGATTTTCTCTAAGTATTCTTCCCAACTCTTTTTCTCTTCTCTTTTCTTTTTTTCAAACTTCTCAAATGCTATTTTTGTGAAGCCTTCCCCTCCCCAAAAGACTAAACCAAGAGACTTTCCTATCTCGACCTCCCTCTCCACCAAATTATTGATATTCACCTTCCCATTTTGTACTAATTCCTTCCCTTATTGGTCTTTGAATCTGTTCTGCTCTTTTTCTCTCTCTCTATTCCTGTCCCCAGTGCTGGCGGCGCCAGCTTCTATTAGTGTATATAGGGTGACTAAAATAAAAGGGGAAAAGACCCTTGTGCCCCTCTGTAAGTGAAGTACAATAAACAGAAAAATAGAAAAGACATTAATCAACCAAACAGACCCTATCAACACAAGACTAAAAGACAAGAAATAAAATAAACTATTTCAACACTCCCCCTCAAGTTGGAGCATAGATGTCAATCATGCCCACTTGTCACACAAATCATTATGCCGCACATGATGAAGACCCTTGGTGAAGATGTCTGCAAGTTGTTCTTCTAAGCTGACATATGGAGTGCATACTTCTCCATTCACAAGTTTCTCTCTAATAAAATGCTTGTCCACTTCAATGTGTTTCGTCCTATCATGGAGGACTGGATTAGCTGCAATGTTGATAGCAGCTTTATTATCGCAATAGAGTGACAGGGTTACTAACTGCAAAACCCAATTCACCTAACAGGTTTCTTATCCACATGATTTCAGCAACCCCATGAGACATGGCTCTGTATTCTGCTTCAGCACTGGATCTAGCCACCACACTTTGCTTCTTACTTCTCCATGTGACTAAATTTCCTCCTACAAAGGCACAATACCCACTGGTAGACTTTCAGTCATCAACTGCCCCTGCCCAATCAACATCAGTGTATACTTCCACCTTTAAATGTCCATGTTTTTGGAACAACAAACCAGCTCTGGGAAACTTCTTGAGGTATCTAAGGATCCTCTCTGCAGCTTCAAAGTGAGTTGACCTAGGATTGTACATGAACTGGCTAAGGACACCCACTGCATAAGCAATATCAGGCCTAGTCATAGACAAATACAAGAGTCTCCCTACAAGTCTCTGAAACTTCTTCACATCTTTCAAGAACCTCCCCTGACTGTCTCCCAGCTAATGGTTTAGGTTCAATTGGTGAGTCAATTGGTTTCAGCCCTAGCTTGCCAGTATCTTTTAGTAGGTCCTATACATATTTCCGTTGAGAAATAAAGATGCCCTTTTTAGAGCGGGCAACTTCAATTCCAAGAAAATAACGCAAGGGTCCTAGATCTTTCACTTCAAATTGAGTGGCTAAGAATTTTTTTAATTTCTGTATTTCAGACTCCCAATCTCCTATGATCACTATGTCATCCACATACACAATTAAAGTTGCAACTTTCCCTTCACCTTTCTTCACAAACAGTGTATGGTCTGACTAGAAAATATGAATTTCAGTTTGGAATTGGGTAAACACCATGCGTTGAAAGTCTTTCACAATTTTAGGCACTTCATCTCTAGATCGCATAGGGTAAAACCAAGTATATCTAGAGTAATCATCAATCAAAGTAATGAAGTACTTATATCCAGCCTAAGTAGGTAGAGTAACAGAGCCCCAAACATCAAAATAGACAATATGAAACGGAAATTCAGATCTTTTATTTCTCAAAGGAAAAGAGTTTCTATAATGCTTACTCAATTGATATGTCTGACACTGCAACTGACTCACTGACAAAGACTTAAACAACTTGGGAAACATAACTTTTAATGACTCAAAAGAAATATGACCAAGACGACTGTGCCATAAATAGGCTTGACTCTCACAGGACGAACTCAAGGACTCTGTAGCCACAAGATCAGCTTTATTCTCCAACACGTAGAGACCATCTACCATGCTTCCTCTACCAATCGTCTTCCCTGAGGCCAAATCCTGAAACACACATGAAGACGGAAAGAAGGTAATTGAACAATTCAAAGAGTGAGTGATACTACTAATGGAAAGTAAATTTATAAGCAATTTAGGAACACACAACACATTAGAGAGGGTAAGGCCGAGTGGGAGAGATATGGTTCCTTGACCGGCTATGGTGGAGAATGAACCATCAGCCAGTCTCACCTTCTCTCCTAGAGAGAAGGTTGTATGCCTGAAATAAATTTGACTTACCAGTCATGTGCTTTGAGGCTTCGAAGTCAATTACCCAAGGAGAATCAGATGTATGAGATGACACATGGAGAGCAGTGGTAGTGTTACCTGATGTAGACGCAAAGGAGGTAGAAGGGGTAGGACTAGAATCCATCTAGCAAAGAGTCCTACCATATAACTCCAAGTGGTCACAAAAGGAGTTGATAATCTCTTCCTTAGGGTCAGAACTGGGAATAGTCTCTTGAGATGCCATATTAGCTGAGTTGGTTTTGATTTTGTTGAGTTAGTTTCTTACTCTGATAAGATGTTAACTTCTTACTCAAATCCTGTGCCCATTTAGGTTTTCCATGGAGATCCCAACATGTGTCTCTGGTGTGTCTTGTTTTTTGGCAGTGAGTGCACCAAAGTTTACTTTTGTCATCTGCTATCTTCTGTGAATCACCCTTCTTAAAGGAACCTCTGGCATTAGTATATGTACTTCCCCGGACAGCTAGGGCAACTGGCTCCCCCTCTGCACAATTCATCACACTTCTTCTACTCTCTTCTGACTAGACTAAGGCATAATCCTGCTGAACTGATGGCAAGTCTTTACTTCCCAAAATCTGTACTCTCATGGACTCATATGAAGGGTTCAACCACAAGAGAAAAGCAAATACACATTGCTGAGAGACAAGTGACTTGTATGCCTTTGCTTCTTCATCACACTTCCAATTTACATTATGATAGTGATCCAGTTCTTTCCAGATCGATGTCAGATCTGAATAGTATATTGAGAGACTTTTCTCCCCCTGCTTGCAAGTAAAGGACTCGGCTTGCAGTTGGTATATCTTGGCATAGTGACTTTGCTCTAAATAAGTAGACTTCGCTTGTTCCCATATTTCACAAGCTGTTTCAGCCCACATGAATGCCTTTCTTACTTGTGGCAACATGAAAACCAAGAGCCATGACATAACCATACTATTTTCTTGGTTCCACCTATCATATTCAGCACTTCCACCCTTCGGTTCCTTCACTTTTCCACTAATGTATCATATTTTCCCCCTAGCTGTAATATAGAGTTTTATTCCCCTAGACCACTCAAGGTAGTTTAGTCCATCGAAGGGGATTACAGCCATGGGAAAACTCATATCAATTCCCCCATTCAGTCCATTATGGTTTCCTAAAACCCCCGAAGTAGCAGAATTCTCAGATGACATGGTTAAAACAGACAATCAGTCCCAAACAGTGGACTTAGGATCCCTCCTTACTCCAAAAATAAAATTGCTCCACACACGTACTCAGTCCACACCCACACACTTGGGTTTAAAACTAGTCTGAGCACAAACAGTACCAATTTCAGGACAAAAAAGGCAAGTTTCGGCAGATTTCAGACCTGTACGATTTAACAGTCCCAACCTACCAGCCTTCCAGAATGTCTAAAAACATTAATCAGCAGGAGGGATCCTTAACACTTATAATCAAGCCAAAAAATTGAGATAACAGGTCATCCTTGACCTACAGTCACCTTAACACAGGAACAGGATCACACGATCCAAAAAAAAACAAGAGGTATAAACCTCACAAAGGCCTGACAGCATTCAGCAGCCCAGATTCATTTGGTTTTTTCACTTGGTACACGACCAAGGAGGGTAAGGAAGAGAAAAAGGAAGGACTGTACCAGTCATAGATCTGTTTTCTTCAGCCCAGATTCAGCAAGTTGGAAAAGGAAGGAAGCTTGTTCGATCTGTTCTCTCAGTCAGTATTCCCACTCTGATACCATCTTGACAGTGTGGCCGGCCAGAAATAAGAGGAAGAGGAGAAGGGAAGAAGAAGAGAGAAGGGAGAAGAGAAGAGAAGAGAAGAGAAGAGAAGAGATTGACAATGGAACAGTTTAGTCCATCGAAGGGGAAAAGACCCTTGTGCCCCTTTGTAAGTGAAGTACAATAATCAGAAAAATAGAAAAGACATTAATCAACCAAACAGACCCTACCAAGACAAGACTAAAAGACAGAAATAAAATAAACTATTTCAACATGTACCTTGAGTTTCACTGCCTGTATCAGCTTCTAAACCATATACACCATTGTTTTTGATCGGACATTTCTGAGATCTAGAGTTTGCCTTAAGTCCTTTCCTTTTGTAAATTTTCAGGAGAAAAAAATTTAAAGAAACAATCATTACCTTTAACTCCAATTTCTTTGTTTTGCCATCAAACAACTAAACCAATGAAATGGGAGTTTAAGGTTATAACTTATAAAAAAAATACATTTTCTCCATAGGTTGGTTTGAGAACAAGATAGAGTATCAGACAATGAAGGAAATGCCTTTCAACTTTTCAAGGGTAGCACCCACAGGTGCAACATACTTTTTCATGTGATGAATGATGAAAACATGAGATATAAACACAACGACAAACCTCCACTCTTGCATCTCAAAAAACAAGCCACGTGCTTGATCTGTTCTATTATGCCTTGCATGCAACCTAATCATCATATTGTAAATATCATTTCGAGCACAGTAGTTCTTTTGATTTTTCATCCAAGAGAAAACTTGAACACTATGTTCAAGCGAACCCAGTTTTGTCATCTCCTACAAAAAGAAAAAATAGTATGAGGCCTTTATGGCTTTGTTTGAGGCAATGTTCATCAGGATATCTACTTCTTTTGTAACTATTATAGAATATAGAAATAAGATATACTAATAAAAATGAAAAGCCAATTATACTAGAAAAGAAGTGATTTTCCCTTTACTCTGTCAGAAATAAAAGGAGAATTACATGCTACGCTTCTGCTTTCAATGATTGAAATATAAGTTCCAAGTGGTCTTTTAAAGTCACTTTCTTGTACATTTAAGCTAAACAAATTCTTCACTATGGGGAGCCTATTATTACAAATATACTCATTCTATGACCACAAGGTCCTCAGGTAATATTATAGAGCATTAGGTGTTGAGTGAAACTTATCATGGGGGATCTAATAACTTATAGGCCTTAAACATCTCATTGTATGGTGACCATTAGATGGGGTGGTGATTTCTAAATCACTTGAGTCAGAGACTCTAGACCTGCACATCGTGTATATCGGATACTCTGATATGATCAAAATAAAAGATTCATTGAAAACTTGTTCCATTGTCGGTTTTGAGCTAAAAACTATAGGTGCCATTTTGATAAAAAAAAGTTATGAATTTCAGTTTATTCCATCACTCATCAGTCCATGTTCCGTCAATCTAACTAAAAAAAAACACCGAATCCTCAGCTTGTTGCAGCAAGGAGAAAAGGCAGGAGAGAATATCGTATATGTCATTTTCTGCATACCCGAATAAGAACAGGGAAATTCTTCCTTGCAAATCGACCAGGCCACCGATTAAGAACTCCTTCAATGTCTTCCCAGCGATTGAGCTTGAGAATTTTCTGAACAACCTGAGAGATTGTCCAATCTCTTTGCCACCGGTCCCCTTCGACACGTAACCGGTACCGCTTCGGGATGTCATCTTTCCTGAGCCCACTCACCCGAGCTGAAACTCTATGTTCCCCCTTGTCGTAATCTACAAACCCATCCTTCTTCTCCTCCCAAGCTCCCTCTTCCTTGCTACTTTTGCAGGAAATTACAGTTCTTCGGCTGCTACTCTTCGTCTTGATCGCCATTTTGGACGAAGGTATGTGTGAGGAATAAAAGGGAAAGGAGTGGGATTTGGGGTCATTTGAACAATGTAGTTTGAAGAGCTCTGGAGTAACCAACGCCATGAATGTGAGATTCAGACAATCAGAGGAAAGGAGAGGGAAGGAGCTTAGGATAAACCTTTCCCTGGATTTTTATTCTACTAACCGTCAGACTTTTAGGAGTGCAGTTGGGACTTGGGACCAGGGGACTATAGAAATAGAACTACAGAAGTGCAGACTGCAGGCCGCTTCTCGTCCTCGACCACCAGACCCGACACCCGACAGAAGAAACGAACCGTGGGCGGCTCTCTTAAACCGGCAGAGCCGGATTCAGTCAGTACAAGCCCGTTCGAACACCCATTATAGTCAATACATATTGGGAAGGGAATGAAATAAAACACGGAAGTCCGGAGATGTTCCCGATGCAAATTGTGCAGGATTTTAACTGACTGAAGCTGATCTCTGCAGCAAGTTACGAGTCGGGATGAAGTGCGCATACTCGGCGAATTCGCATGGGAGCCCCACACAAATTTGGATCAGCTGAACACTTTGACTGTGGAACCAATGATGGGTTCCATGTTAGTAATAAATTCATGGGCCCATGTATTTAAATACTGGCATGGAACCTTATCATTGGTCATTGCAAAACCCATTCTAATGTTGTTCGAACTTGGAACAGCTTTACATTAGGGAGATATTCCCAATGCAAGGCTATAAAGGCTATTGAAAGGGGCTTTAGACAGATTGAATCCGATTTCATTAAAAGCATGTCCTATATAACAAGTACTAAAGATGTCTTTAATGCATGCTGAGATGTATGTGTGGAGTGCCAATCTAATCTCAAACAGTCCAGATCTCTTCCTCACAGAGTGCTGACACCAATCTCACAGAATGTATTCTCAAATGTCTTAGGCTCCTAACTGTACATCGGGAACATCACTTATATTTGTATATTATTATACATGGGAGATGTTTCCAATACATAGTAGGATGTGACTGTAACTACTCTGTGAGGTGAAAATCTCAGTTCAGAGATTGGATTTATTCATAGAATATTCCTCACCTCAAGAAGTCAAGATACATTGCAACTGCACATGGAAAACAATATCTTTCATATTTGTATGTTTTGATTCATTTGGATGTAAAGACCATTTTGTGAGTAAAGAACACTTTGCGAGGAAATCTGGATTCCCTAAATTCTACCCTTAAATTGATTCTAACGTTTGGAAGCACTTGGAGTGCTCTAGGTTTCAGAATTGAAAAGCCAAAAGCCAGTCAAAAATTAGTTGACAAAAAGATCTTTTTTATAATTGATAATCGTTTAACAAAAAGACTTGGAAACAAGTTTTTTTTGCATAAAAAAGGCATGTTTAAAAATGCAGAAAAAAAAAACTTTATTTAGCATTTTAAGTTTATAAGAAGCTACTTTTAACAAAAACAAAAAGATAATAAAAGCTTGTAAACAGCCACACACTAAAAAAGTTTTTTATCAAAAATTCCATTTTAAAAAGAAACCCGTTTAGACCAAAATAACACTCTCAAACATGTTAATAGAAGTCAGTACCTGTTTAGAAGGGCTTTTGTGAAACAACTTCTAGCATTGTGAGATGGGCCTCACTTGGTATTTTTGGTGAAACATCTAGAAAGCCCAAATACACTGTCCTTCAGCCAAAGAATAGGTTTCTGCACAATACTTTAGTTTTAGTAGCTTCTTCAAATTTACTCAATGATGAAAGCATAAGATTGCCATCTCAATACGGCATAGATGTGCTATGGGACGTTGTGGGGGGCTGATTTGAACTCCCAGACCACTCCACATCTGCTACCCACAAAAAGTTTCCACGTCTAGACCCCTGTAACACCTCCCTATGAATGGAAAGAGAAATGTTCCCAATGCACAACTGTTATATACCTATCTGCTACCCACAAAAAGTTCCCACATCTAGACCCCCGGAACACCTCCCTCTGAATGGAAAGAGAGATGTTCCCAATGCGCAGCTGTTATATACCATGGGTAGCAGATCGAACCCTGTGCCCAGACTCACTTTATTTACCAATTACTACACACATAAAAGGGTGGCAACTGTCACCTGATTAGCGAATATCCAACAAATCCGATTCTTTTCTTTCAAACCAAATTAATCAAATTACTTAAGACCCAACAAAAATCAACAAGTACACCCAAAACAATTATATAGATGAATTTTGAAAAACATCCGTAGGATTCTTGACTTGGGTTCCATGTTGGCCATATCTTGTTGGTAGGTATATAGGACAATCTATATATATATATATATATTAAAACAAAGTGGTCAAGAAATTTTCTCTATTTTTTGAATTTTTTGTTTTTTTTTATTTCATGTCATTTTTGAAACAACCAATGAGATGCACTTTCCCAATAACTTAAATAATCTCTTCTCCTAAAATTTATCTTAAACTACCTCCCCCACTTTCTCAGAATTATCTCTAATTCCAATTTATCTTCTAAATTATCTCTAATTCCTATTTATCTCCACAATTATCTCTAATTTAATTGAGAGTTTCTCTCCTAAATTATCTCTAATATCACAAAATTATGTATTAACAATTTAAACTATGTTTTTCCAGATCATCAATTTAAATGCTTTTTAAATATTTAATAATATGTAATAGCTTTAAATAAATAAAATTCAAAAAACAAAAAAATTAAATATTTTATGGCTATTTAAATATTTAAATAACTAAATATTTATCATAACTATATTTTAAATAGTTAAAATAATGAAATTATCTAATAAATAATTTTATAATTTTACAAAATACATAACAAAATTATATACAAACAATTTAAATTATGTTTTTTGGATCATCAATTTTTTTTCAAACATTTAACAATATGTAATAGCTTCAAATAAATAAAATTTAAATAGCAAAAAAGTTAAATAATTTATAGATTATTTAAATATTTATAAAACTAGATTTTAAATAGTTAAAGTAACAAAATTAAAGCAGAAAAATAAATATAACATAATATTGAAATTAAAAATAATTTAATATATTACAAAATTAATAATTAAATTATGTAATAATAGTATAAATTATGATTTAATGGATAATTAAACTTCGTAAATAACTAATATTTTAAATTTTAAATATTTTACATATTAATTAGGTATTTAAATAACTAGGTATTTTGAATAACAAAATATTTAACATAACTAGATTTTAAATAGTTAAAACAAAGAAATTATGTAATAAATTAAAAAAATCTGAAAAGTAGAAAAATAATTATAACATAAAATTGAAATTAATAATAATTTAATATTTTTACATAATATTGTAAATAACTAATTTTACTTATATCAAGTGATAATTTGAGAAACAACTTTAAAAAAATAATATTTATTAATAATAATTTTAAACTCTTAATCTATATTTATTATATAATTATATATACTAAAATTAATATTTATCGTATTTCAGTCATCATTTATTATTTTTGTGATAAATATATTTTCAATGATTATGTTTTTGTTATTTAATAGAAAACTTTCAATAATTATTAGAGATTAAACTACTATTAGTGAAATTTTTAAATTTAACTTATTGTACTTATTGTATTTATTGTATTTATTGTATTTTTGTTATAATTTATTGATTAATATTTATTAGAGATTAAACTATTATTTGAGATTATACTATTTATTGACTAAGTTAATATATTTTTATTACTTATTATATTTTTGTAATTATTATATTTTATATCAATATATATTTTCAATAGTTATTTATTTTTGCTATACATTTTTAATAATTATTGGAGATTAAATTATTATTATTTATCGGAGATGAACTATTAATTTAGCTAAAATTATGAGTGTCCATGAGTTGGTTCGATTCGGTCGTAGGCTATTTGGCAAACCAAATTGACCTGGTCAGGTTGGGGAACTAATCAACTAAAATCGACTAACCTTTTGTGAAAACCAACCCACTCAAGTTGTATCAGTTTGGGTCGATTTTTTGGTTTAGTTAGTCGGTTCAAAAGATTTAAACTTAAAAATTAAATTAATTTTTTAAAATTATAATGCAATTATAAAAAAATAAATTTAAAAATTAGATTTTTGATATAAAACATTTTAGACTAAGAAACATGGGAAATTTCCCACTTTTCCATATTAAAAATTATATTTAAAATATAAAATATTAATATATATATATATATATATAGGTCGTTGAATTTTGGTTGGTTTACAAATGGCAAAAGTGAATTTGATCCAACTTGGTCAAATTAGAAAATTTTTAAACCAAATCCGACCTAAAATACTAGAAAACCGACCAACTCGGGTTGAGTTGATCAGGTTGGTCGGTTTCATCAGTTTGATGAATAAACCTAACTGAAATTAATTATTGTTATTTTTATATTATAAAAAAAATTATTAAAAGTAGTATATAAAATATGAATAATTATTATTTTATTTAAAAAGTTGAAAATATAAAACAATTGTATACTCTTATGTGATTCTATTAGGGTCATTACTAGAACACATCTTATAATTTTATATATTTACTTAAACCTACCTTATGGTTTTCATTTTATTAAAACATCACATATATTTTACAACTTATTTACTTAATCAACATTTCATCAAGGAGTGTTTGTTTTGCCACTAGGCCCATGATTTTTTATTCAAAAAATACCATTAACACTTTTTTTTGTACAAAAAACAAATTTAAACAAATATAACCAATAGAGTGGTTGCTCGTGTCTTATAAAGGACAAAAATGATATTTTTATTTTTATTTTCTTTTAATTAAATTTATTTAAATGAGCATTAGGATCAACATTGTCATTTTTCACTATCATCTAATAGAAGATTGATTAAATCCATTACAAATTATAAGTGGTGTTTTAGTAAAATTTTAACTATAGGGTAGATTTTAGTAAATCCATGAAACTATAAAGGGTATTTTAGTAAATGACCCTTTCTATTATTTAGCTTTTGCTTAATAATACTTATTGTATCTATTGTATTTTTGTTGTACTTTATTCATTGATATTTATTAGAGATTAAACTATTATTTGAGATTACAATATTTATTGACTAACTTAATATATTTTTTTAGTATTTTTGTAATTATTTTTATTATCAATATATTTTTAATTATTGTGCATTTTTGCTATAAATTTTTAATAATTATTGGAGATTAAACTACTTATTTATTACTAACTTTAATGTAGGCTATTTAGCCAACCAAATCGACATGGTAAGATTGGGGAATTGGTTACCCAAAATCTACTGACCATTAGTGAAAACCAACTAAATCGGGTTGTATTGGTTTGGGTTGATTTTTAGTTTGCTCAATTGGTTTAAAATATTATATTAAAAACTTGATTTTAAATTTAAAAAATTACATTCACATTATTAAAAATAAATTTATAATATAAAATATTTGAGACTAAGAAACATAGGAATTTTTCCATTTTCTTGTATTAAAAAATCATATTTAAAATATAAAAATACTAAAATATATTTGTGATTAGGTCATTCGATTTTGGCCAATTTACAAATGGCCATAGCGAAACTGATCCCAATTTCAACCAGAAATATTAGAAACTGAGCAATTATTGTTATTTTTGTATTATAAAAAGTTATTAAAAGTATTATAAAATTTAAATAATTAATCATTATTTAAAAAATTAGAAATATAAAATAATTATATACTCTTATGTGTTTTATTGTTTAGCTTTCCTTAACAAATCTCATGCATCGCATGGGTCCCTACTAGTATAAATATAAATAAATTCTTTTTATCAAAAACTAACAATAGTAGCTAGTAACGAGCCTAACCACAACTTAAATACAAGAAAAATAGATTGATGAAACAAAAAACTGATATGGAACATCTTAAGAGGCCAAAAATGGTTGGCACAATAACATCTTAATGTCATTAAAAAACAAAAAAAAAAAGGATCAATTATCTTGATAAAGGACAAACCAATGTGCAAAGTGCAACTTCACATTAACTGAATTCCTGACAACTGGTACTCATTCCACCTTCAAGAGGAACTCAGAAATTCAAGCCACCCAATGTTTCATCATCTTCTAACTTTGCAGTGAAGAGTGGTGGTATTTTGCAAAATATATGCAGGACTACTCTGAAACTGTAAACTGCTTTCCGTGCAGTTAAAATAGTAGCTGGAGGCACTGCGACTGGCTTTTATGTGCAACAGAAGCATTTTAATATTCCAAGCTCAATGCAGATGTCTAGTTATTAGTTTTTTTTCTTTTTCTTCTGGACCTTCAAAGAACCAGCAAGACCAGGAACCAATGCTTTGCCTGCCTTTTTTCGCCCCACCTTTCCCTTTCCTCCAATTGTGGCAATTTTCTTCAACTCCCTCATTTTGCTCTTAACTCTGTCCATTGGCTGACCTTTCAATAATTTCCCTGATTTAGAGTCAGGTTTGTTCATCCTTCGGTTTTCAGTACCACTAACCATATGCTTGTGCGGCTCATTTTTGTGGGAATTTTCAACTTTGCGTTTCTTTTCTCTCCTCTTATGCACTATTCCAAGTGTCCTGGAACCATCTTCCGCATCTGGCACATCTACTCCTCCATAAGCCCTCTTTTTCCTCCTGAGATGGGCAAGTTCCACAATGAGAGATGGAAATCTAAACCTGAAAATTGGAACTTACAATATAATAAAATTCTGTAGGCTTCATAGAGAGTCCAGACCACTTTGGAGATGTATCTGCAAGTTCCAATGCCGTCTCAGTACTACCATCTTTAGAACTTTTCTTTCCATGGCGTTGCTGCAAACGAGTATAAAATCAACTATATAAAATCTTCTACAGGAAATCCAAGAAATCACAAAAAACAAATGCCAATCATCTTATTCCATGCAACCTGAGAAAGCAAATAACTTTCCATGAATTCTGACTTGTATAATGGAATCAAATATATGAAACAGATATATCTTTTCTTTCAAGAAAAGTGATCTGTTACAAGTTTAAGGGGCAGACCAAAATGGACTTGGGTATATGTAATAGGAAATGATTTAAGGGTTCATAATTTAATGATGGATATGACACTGAACAGAATAGAATAGTTAAATAGGCTTCATGTAACTGATCCCATATAGTTGGGAAAAGGCTTAGATGATGATTTTTTTTTTCTTTTAAGAAAAGGCAAAGCAACAAACTATATCAATTGTCAAATATATGCAATACACTAACTCTCATCCCTTCAACTGACTGGTCTGACCCCTAATATTCTTCTTATAATTTGTTGCAATCTGCAACATCTAAAACAGTAAGCAAGTATATGAAAATAAAACTCAGGGAACTGCTCAAACAACATGCCAGTAACTTGTTTTATGATGATAACATTCAATGAAAAAGATTACCTCCAAAACAGTTTTGATAAACCCCTTGTATTTATCTGGCACAATGGACTGAACTAAAGAAGCACCACACTTCCGTATCATGATTTCCAGTATAACTGTGACCTGTAGTGACAAACATAATTCAGAAATCTGTAAATGTCGAGAACAGATAAATAAAAAAGAAAACATTGCCAATAAGAGATTCTGTCCAAATTGTATGTACCTTTGATCTAAAGTGATGTCTTGAGACAGAAGACCATGGAAGAACTCCATTGACTATATCGGAAAGAATTTTCTGCAAGTCTTCTACTTGTAAGCAGGATACCACCACTTTCATGAAGCCCAAAACAGCCTGTTTCATGTCAAATATACTTAAAACAATAAATATAGTAGAAAAAAAAAGATAATACAATGAGTTGGGTCTTTCCAGGTACTTACTTTTATAATTTTTATATCTTTGCTTCGCAGCAAAACTAAAACTGAAGGCAACAGATCAGGTACAGAAAAACAAAGATCACTGTCCTTGTATATCAGCACTGAAAGTGCAGAAACAGCTGCACTTGTTATGTGAGGAGAAGGACCAGAAAGATAACCCAATATCTGACAAAATGAACAATCAAAACAGTAAAAATTAAAATCATGATCAAAGCATGAATCAATCACAACAAACTGTCTAACAATGGCATAAAAGCTATTTAAAACTGACCAGCAAAAGATATTAAGACACATGTCAATAAAACTGTGTTTTTCTTATAAAAAAACAAGCTTTTTTCTTTATAATTCGTGAGCATCTTGGAAGAGGGGGAAGCAAGATATTGATATTTCATTTTTATATTGCACAGAACAGATGGCAAAATAACTATATAGGCGCATGTCAAGCTGATAATTACAAATGTAGAAAATGAAACTAGGCCAAATAGTTCTACTTTGGCTGTGAAATTGAACTTGAATCTTTTATAAAGGGAAAAAACAAATGAACCAAATTGTTCAACCTAAATATTTATGCGAGGCATCTCACTCATTAAGAATTTTGATCTTAAATTGAATTTTATTATTTTTTGCTGACTCTTTCCTATGTGATGTTACCAGTTCATATAGGTTCAGACTGATGGTCAAACAGTTTGAACTGAACTGGCCCTGTTTCTGGTTCATTAGCATGGTTTTTTTAGCATTGAAAAACACATACATTTATATTACATTGCATGGGATAATTCACAAAATTGGTTCTCTTTATGGTTGTTATGGGGCTAGGGAATAGCTTCCTTCTCACATCCAACTGTAAGGATAAGATTATGTGCAAATGCCCCAGACAAGCCATTGTTTTGATCACCTAGGCTGCAAGCAATGGTTCAGGTCCCCATACCACTCCATTTGAAACAAATAACAATCTTGAACCAAGTCTCTCTTGTAAGCACTCATTACCACTCCATTTTAAAGCTTCATGTAAGGTCTGCCTAGTAAATACTACTCTTCCAAAAATGAATACGATAACCAGATTTCACCACATAGGATATATTTGAAAATCCAAAAACATGCTCATATATTCCATGTCAAATACAGGATCTATAAGATTCAGAATTAGATCCAGGTTCCATCCATGTTGAACACTCCATACCTGCTAACACTGATTTGCCCTCATCCATTTCATTTCCACATCTTCATTGTTACTTCCATAGTAGTGCTTTATTCGTCAGATTAAAGGGACTCCAACCAGATCCACCTTTTACTCCACTCGATGAGATGGGACTTCTCTTTCTATTTTCTCTGAGGTTTCAGCCGCCAACACCAGAATAGATACAAGTGACAAGTGAGAGGTACATTGAAAGGCAATTTTAATGAGTATCAACTTGCTTTTGAGAGGATTCCTCTCTTTCATCCTGCCAATTTTTTTCACAATCTTCTCCACAATTAGGTCATATAAAGCCTTCTACTAACAATTAGCTCCAAGAGAAAGTCTGAAATATATTGCAGGGAAAAAACCATGACTAGATCCCAAGGATTTCACTAATTTCATTTTTCCATTCAAGACTTCTTTCTTAACATTCAAGGCACCACCTACTTAAACAACCTTGCTTCTTCTTTAATTCATATAGAGATGAATATTGCATCAAAGCAAAAGAAGGTAAATCTTTGATATCAAAGTGCTTATTTTGTATCACAAAAGAAATAATGAAAGAGCTAACTCAACAACTGTCCTCCAACACACACACACAAACACACACTTGAAACCCTTCAATCATAGCAATACTTTCAGCATTGGAGGAATACAGAACATCCCCTACCTCATGGACGCCAGTTTAGATCAACCACATCATTACTCATTGTTTAGTTCAAGATGGATACTCCTGGCAGAAGTTCCAAGATTATTAATAACCTACTTTCTCCTTGAACAAGGGGGAAGCTCATGAGATGTATAAGTGTAACATTTCTGCAGTAAATTTGCAAGGAATGCCATAGTCTTCCATGATAAGACTCAGATGTGGTTGGGGCAATGATGCCTCAATCCAAGGATCTTCTCTCATTGGTTCTTTCCCTTTTCACATTCACCACCTTCACTGCTTCTATTTTATAAACAAAACATTTTTTGCAGTGGTATCAAAGTGTCAACCGGTTGACTGACTAGTCAGTTGAGGACCAGACCAACTGCATCACTAACTAGCTGGCTGATACCCATCATGCAGTCGTCTAGGACAACTGAGAATTGACTAGGCAAAGTAGTCAAATAACAAGTTAACCTAGTCAATCAGAGAGCCGGTTTAAAGCTATACTTGTCTTTTTGCATCTCTACTTGTTTGAAATAATATAGAGCATTTTACATTTTGTTATATTCATGCGGTTGCTTCTTAGAGAAAGAAATGAGGAAGTGGTGATGGAGTGCATAGTAACAAGGGGGATACATTGGGTTAAAACCTTGGGCATTTCCTCACAATTCACCTCTGATGATATTTGGAGGAATTGGGGTACAGTGGCAGAAGGCTCTTCAGAGGAGAAGATTACTTCCTCTTGGATTCCACCTGAAGATGAATTTATTAAGCTTAACTTTGATGGGAGCAGCCAAGGCAACCCAGTTCGGGTATAGGGGGTGTTTTCTGAAATAAGGAGGTATTGTTGCACTGTTCTCGAGACCAGCTGGTGCAGGGGATTCAGCTAGAGTGGAGCTTCTAGCTGAACTTCAAGGGGCGCAATTAGCTAATGGAATGGAAGATTCTCTAGCCAAGCAAGGGGTTAATAGGGACCATTTATTCTGGCTCAATTGTAATTCTGACTCTTTTTTAAGTTTTCTTCTAATCAGTGGTTTGTTGGTATAAGGACCATTACTTCATGTAATGGTAAAATCTCAGGCTGGCACCCAAAAAAATGCAAGTCCAACTCTGAGAGCGGCCACTGAGTAAAAAAAAAGCCAGATGTAAGGACCTTATCCAGTCTACCCCTCCCAATACCCCAGATTGCCGGGACTAACATTGGGTAATGGCCTTTTTAGAGGTATGCTGGTGTGTAGTTGCCACAAACAAAAGGCACATCAAATAGTCACGGTTACTCTTTCTTGGAAAACAAAGGCTGTGATTCCTTGCCCTAGACTATGTACCCTAACTTTTTCTTTGTTTTCTAAACAAAGACTGTAAAGTAAATGTTTAGTATGTAATAAAATATCTGGAGAAACTAGAAAGGAATGCAAGGGTATTAGAGCAGCCGCCTTGTGGACAATCTGGGAAGAAAGGAATGCAAGGGTATTCAAAGAAAAGGAAAGAAGCATTCAGACTGTTGAGGATTGTATCTTGACTAGAGCCATTCATTGGTTAAGAACTATGGATTTTTTTCATACATTTTCCTTTGATGATATTTGGAGAAACTGGAAAGCGGTGGCCAATAGTCATACGAGGAATGACAAGGAATCTGCAATGTGGAAGCCTCCGCCTGAAGGTTGGGCAAAGCTGAACTTCGATGGTAGCAGCCAAGGAAACCCAGGCCCTTCGGGGATAGGAGGGGTGCTGAGAGATAAGGAGAGAAACATTTTAGCTTTGTTTTCAGGCCCTGTGGGAATAGGAGACTCAAATAGAGCAGAGATTTTAGCGGCTGTACAAGGTATTCAGATTGCAGAACAATTAAGACTTCAACACTTGGTATGTGTTGTGGGATGGCTGACAGAGCCAGCTTCAGCTATTTGGCGATATAGAGACTTATTGAGGAAAGTCAACTGGCTCACAAGAAATATGACAGTTACCTCTCTTTGGGTGGAAAGATCAGCAAATACCTTAGCAGATGGGCTAGCTAAGCAAGGGGCTTCAAGGGATCATTTATTTTGGGCTGCTATGTAATTTTATTTCTGTTTATTCCTGTTTTTAATTTGATGTAATAGTTTGTAGAAGAGGTAACAGCTCGTGCCTCTTCATGGGTTTCCTGTATTGCCTTAATTTCTGAATTAATAAATTATTTTCATTCATAAAAAAAAATGTTTAGTATGTAATCTTTGGAGAAAAATAGTAGAAGAGTGGCACAAGAAGAGAGGACTGAGGAGAGAAGAGAGAAAACAGAGATTTGAGATTCAAAAGTTCTTGCTGGCGGAACCAGCAATAATATTTATACTAGGGAGTCCCAATACAAAAATTAAAAGAAGGGAAAATTACAAAAGCACCCTTACGGCACTAAAGCTTTTTTTTATAAGTAATAAGATAAGTTTCATTAATAGAGAATTAATGCAGTTACAAGCTTCCCATGGAGAGGCACGAGCTGTGTCCTCCCCTAACAGCAGGAAGAAAGATAAAAAGAAAACAGATTCAATCGACAATTGAGCCCAATATAAGCTTTCCCTGTTTACCCCTTGCTTTGCAAGACCATCAACCATAGAGTTTGCTGATCTCCCCACCCATTGTATTCTCACTGTCAAGCTCCTTGTCAGGCAGTTGAATTTTTTAATTTCATTCTTAAAACACCACACTATAGAGTCCAGGTTTTGTAGCCATCCCACTACCACCTTGGAGTCCCCTTCTATTATCAGTTATTCCACACCTATCTGCACAGCTAGCTGTTCTCCCTGGATAGCGGCTGCAAGTTCCGCCCTAGTAGAGTTTTCAACTCCTATGGGCCCCGAGTAAATAAGAACCACATTCCCAGCCTCATTCCTCAGTACCCCTCCCACCCCTGACAGACCTGGATTACTAAGACTACTTCCATCGAAGTTCAGCTTCAAAAAACTTTCAGGAGGGGGCTCCTAAGTCAAACTCATTTTAGCCTTTCTAGATGAACAATTAGCCACTGCTAACCAATTCCTCCAAATATCATTAAATGAGAATTGATGGAATAGGTAAGTGATTTTATCCATAGGATCACCCTATTTAGAATGCAGTCTTTCATCTCTTCTAGGTTCTCTCCTTCTCTTGGAAAGTTCTGGTATTCCTTTCTTCCCACACGGACCAGATCAGCGCTGCTCTTGCACACCCACATAATTCTTCCTCTTCTGTGCCGCCAAGGGAAGAAAGCAGGATCAAAGATCAAACTTGCATCCGCTGGCCTAACCAACCTGCACCCAAACAATGAGAAGAGCCACGCCCATAACTCTGCAATAAATGAACAGGATATTAGAAGATGGTCACAGTCCTCACCATATGACTTGCAAAGGATACACCAACAAGGTGAGAGACAAACATAAGGTCTTCTCTTTTGTAGAATGTCTAAGGTGTTTATTTTCCCATAATGCACTTCCCAGCAAAAAACCATAACCTTAGGGGGAACAGGCCTACACCAGATTTCCTTAAAAGGGAAAGACTGAATGTGGCTAGATTGAGTAATGGATTTAAAGAAAGAAGCGCAAGAGAAGGATCCAATTGGCTTGGGTGTCCAGATCCGTTTATCGGGTTCAAAAGGGTCCAAACATACTGTATCAAGTAGCTTAGCAGATTTGTTAGGGACACAATTTCCTCTTCCCTTAGACCTCTACGAAACCCAAAGTCCCAATTTGGTGTTAATGCATCCCTTAGACCTCTTCCCTTTTTGTACCTTGAAACAGAGAACAAAGAAGGGAAGAGGTCCTTCAATGGAGCCTCTCCAACCCAAGTATCCTCCCAAAAAAGGACAGAGTTACCATTACAAACATCATGCCTGACAAAACTGAGAAATTGAGGAAGGATGCCATAATGCTTTCCATGGTGTTGCCCAGGTTGCCTGCCATGATACTCTAGCATCCCACCCATTTTCTGAGTAACCATGAATAATACCCACCACCTCATGCCAGAGCCTCTCTCTCTCCACCGGCCACCTCCACAGCCACTTCCCCAGCAGTGCTTTATTTTTTTTAATCAAATTTCCTAACCCCAATCCCCCTCGTCTTTATTCTGGCATACCACCTCCCATTTTATCAAGTGATCCTTCTTACTTCCCCCCAGCTCCCAGAGGAAATTTCTCATCACCTTCTCTAGCTTCTTAGCTTCCCTAGGTGGTATCCTAAACATAGAAAGGAAATAAGTTGGTAGGTTAGCTAATGTGGCTCTTATCAATGTGATTCTACCCCCCAAAGATATATAGTTTTTCCTCCATGAAGTCAACTTCTTTTGAAACCTCTCCACCACTGGACACCAAAAGCTACTTTCCTTAGGGTTTGCTCCTAACAAAAGCCCCAAGTAGGTCATAGGCCAAGACGAGATAGAACACCCCAAGCTTCTTGCTATAGCCTCCACCTGACTGTCCTCCAAGTTAACCCCGGCTACACAACTATTCTCAAAATTGACACTCAGATTTGACACCCTCTCAAAGTTCCTAACCAGATCCTTAAGATTTCTCACTTTCTCAATATCATCCCCTTCACAGAAAATCAAAATATCATATGAAAATTGGAGATGGGTGACCGGAGTACCATCCCTACCTATCCTCCACCCTTTAATCACTTCTTCTTTGTCAGCCTTTGAGATCATTCTACTAAGCACCTCTGCTATTAGAGTGAAGAGGAAAGGTGATAGAGGGTCCCCTTGCCTGATACCTCTACAAGCTAGGAAGAAGTCCTTCACCACTCCATTAACCAGGACAGAGTAATGGCATGACTCACACATCCAAAAATCCAACTGCACCACTTATTCCCAAAGCCACAATTTCTCATTACTTGTACCATGAAGTGCTAGTCCACCAAGTCATAGGCCTTTTCAAGATCCAACTTACAAACAAAGCCTTTTCTTTTCGATCTTCTCATATCCTCCACACACTCACTAGCAATTAGGATCTAATCTACTATTTGTCTCTCTTGTACAAATGCCCCTTGGGCTTGGCTTATTAGGGATGGGAGAACTACTTTCAGCCTCAAAGACAACACCTTAGCCAAGATTTTGTAAGTGCTAGTTACCAAACTAATTGGCCTGTAATCCTTAGGTTGGATAGCATCTGGTTTATTAGGGACTAAGGCCAAAAAGTTGTCATTGACTCCCGGGCTTACTATATAATTCTCGGCAAATTCCTTAACAGCATCACATAAATCCTCTTTCAAAATGTCCCAACAATCTTGGTAGAAAGCCATAGTAAAACCATTTGGACTTGGTGCCTTAGATCTATCCATCATGAACACTGCTTTTCTGACTAGCAGCATATTTAACAAGCATCATTCTTTTCCTGCATACATGTAGTCTATATTTATTTAATTTATGAGTTGTTTATAAACAAGTATAAAAGGCTGTTTATAAGTTGTTTTTCTTTGTATTTTTGTTTCTGTTAGTGCCGCAGGGGTACTATTGTAATTCCCCTCTCTTTATGTTATGTTTTGGTCAACCTAATATAAATACCAAAAAGCTGATGCCGCCAGCAACACTTCTTGCTCTCAGATCTCTCTTTTCTCCTCTCTCTTTCTCTCTTCTCTCTTCTCTTCACTTCAGCTTCTGGACAAAGAATGAGATTGCATCAATATCTTAAATTCAAAACATATCTTTTTTTTTCTACCAACTAGTCAATGCCTAGACACCAAATTAGTCATCACATTCACTAGAGGAAAAAACAACCAGTCATCACTTCATCATATTGACAAATGATAACACTTCTCTTTTGACATCATTATCAATAAAAAAAGGGGGCTGGTTCTGTAGGGAAGCTCCATACTTGACCCAATTAAAAAAAAAAAAAAAGGTTTCTTTCATGTAAATATAGAATTATTTGTAACTAGGAGAAAATATAAAGTTACCATACTAAACAGTCGTTGATGAGGTGTACCACTTGAAAACATATCCCTCTTCAAGCTGGAACTTATCGAAAGTAGTACATCATACGCTGCTTTCCTGGCTTCTTCCTTCGACTGCAAGAACACTTACAAGCATAAATAAAATGAATAATGTAGTATTAGACCACTTCATGTTTCAATGTTAATAAAGAAACTTACGATTAGATAAGTTTTATGCAATATCATGTTTCAATGTTATTAAAGAAAACTCTTGGGAAAAGCTAAAGTTCAATTGCAACCTCGTTACATGCAACTTACAAGAAACAAACCTTAATCCTTCTTTGACCATACAATTTGCAAGAATTTGTAAGGAATCTTCTGTTATAATAATTTGATGTTCTTAGATGATCAAAAGACATAAAATGGGAAGATTTATAGCGAGAAATAATAGAAGGTTATTTTTTGAGACATGTGTTTCATTTTGATTTCTTAAATAGATTTATGAAGTACCTACATGGCCAATAAAAGTTATTTGCATCACAAACAAGATCCAATGAGCACCACAGAACTAGTGCCAAAATGTCCAAGATCATCATACAGAACAACCGTGACAAGAAATTACAATACTCCCTGAGTAAAAGGACAATAATACCCCAACATCTGTAACACTAGAAATTATAATACTTCTCTCAAGTGAAATATATATATCATGCATACCCAACTTGTCACAAACTTCAACATGACGATAGCTAACACACTTATATGCTATCCAATTGTCCCTTAGAGCTTACAAATAAAAGACAAATTTCAACCCTTGCAACTTTCTCACAGATCAAGTGTTTATGTGCAAGTACAATATATTGACTGCTGTATTGTAATAGACATTGATCCTGAAACTAGGAAGCCCAACTCATTAACAAATTCTTTAGCCATAAGGCCCATAATATTTCACCCACTCTGTGTGCCATGGCTTTTTGTGTAATGGAAACATCTCGGGATGGCCTTGTATTCTACCTCTCCCAAGACCCCAAATAGCTGGGAACAACATTGTGCAGGGCCTTTTTATATGCCATGACCTTGTATTCTACCAACACACCTGATCTCATCTCTATGTCCGTCTGTATCAGTGTTTTCAAAATCGTGTGATTCACGATTTGAATTGTACGATTCAAATCGAATCAGGGCTAAAACGATACAAATCGTTTTTTGAATAAATCGTATGATTTGTAAGCAAAACGCTAGTGTAGATCGTAAATCGCGATTCTTGGACAATTCATACGATTAGAGTTTGAAAGCTTAACCTAAGATTAAATGACCATTTAACCCTTTTCCTTTTTAAAGTTTTGTCTTTACATAGAGGGGCAGAATCGTCATTTTAGTTATAAAACATAGAATATCCACTTTGGTCAATCAAACATGACTTACCATTGAAGGAAAAGACTTGGTAGGAGACTGGAAGAGAAGAAACCCTCCTCCATTGTTTCAGTGAAGCTCCAAACCTCCTCTACTTGTCTGCATTGAAAGGTGAGAGGTTTTGTTTTTTTTTTTTATTTCTACTGTTTTTATATTATCTGTACATGGTTTGTATTGTTTTCTTCTTTCTTTCTTCCTCCTTTCCTCTTGTCTTCTTTCTTCTCCTTTATTTCAGTTGGTTTTTTGGCATGAAAATAGGGGCTCCGCCCTATTTATTTCTGTCGGTGTTTTGGGATAAAAATAGGGGCTCCGCCCCATTTGTTTCAATTGTTTTTTTGGCATGAAAACAGGGGCTCCATTCCATGTTTTTCATTCATTTTTTCATGAAAGCTAGGGGTACCTAGTTTCATAATATTTCCCCCTTGTTTCATAATATTTTATCTTGATTTTTTTTTTGCATAAAAACAGGGGCTCCGCCCTTTTACTTTTCACCCTTTTTCCATGCATAAATAGGGGCTTTTCCCCAATATTTTTACTTGTTTCTTGCATGAAAATAGGGCTTTATCCCTGATATATTCCCCTCACCCTTTTTCTAATCACAAAACAGGGGTTCATCCCCATTTTTCATTCTTTCTTACACAAAATAAAACTGTATTATGCAAAAACAGATATGTATTTGCACTTTTTAGGTTAAAACAGGGTGTTTTCTATTGTGCAAAAATAGCTTCCTTTTTTTTCTTTTTGCTAATGTTAAAACATGTATCATTCAATTATTTTCACTCTCATTTTTTTATAAAACAGGGATATATTCTATTTTTTCACTCTTTTCTAACATGAAAACAAGGTTGATTTGTTTTCTTTGTTTCATTATTCATATTAAAACAGTGACTTTGCCCCATTCTTTCCTCTCTTCATTTTTCCCTTGTTTATATTTTCCTTCCTCCTTTAAATTAGATTATGATTTATGAAGCACTTACACTTAGACTTTAAAATTTGATTTTTTTAGAATGGAATTAAAATTCATCCATAGTTCTATACACATGATATCTCTTTATATTCATTAATTTCAGAGAAATTAATTTCTTTAGTTGTTTAACTTTCATTTGTAGTGTTTGTCTCACTATCGTATAAATTGTATGGATAATTATTAATTGATGACTTGATGTGTGTAGTTTGTTACTTTGTTGAACACTTGAAAGTTAAAATTTAAAACAATAGAAACAAGACTCTATACTATATAGTTATGGTTCATTCATATTTCATATCAAGATAATTAAAGATATTGCTTTTTATTGACACTAGTGTAACTATAAGTCTGTCATTACTATATAGCTATAAGATGTTTATGGGTTAGAAAGCTTGTGCAAAGTCATTTTTTCTATTTTTTTTGAGAGATTTAGGTATATTTTAGAGTTTTGAACATCTTTTGAAAAAATAAGAAAAATCTTACGATTCGATTCAAACCCCTTTATGATTTACGATACGACTACAATTTTCAGAACATTGGTCTGTATCGGGGTGTCTTGATACTTTTAACACTTTCTCACAATTCTCTTTTGATGATATTTGGAAGAACTGGCATCTAGTAGCAAAAAAAGTTCTCATAATTCTCTTTTGATGATATTTGGAACACTTTCCTAATTCCTACTAGTTACCACCGAACAGTTTCTCATAAGAGTCCATTTGGTTCACAGTTGGAATCGGAATGGACTTCTCTTTTGATGATATTTGGAAGAACTGGAATCTAGTAGCAAAAAAGTTTCTCATAATTCTCTTTTGATGATATTTGGAACACTTTCCTACTGTTTACCACCAAACAGTTTCTCATAAGAGTCAAATTTGGTTCACAGTCGGAATCGGAATGGTCTAGTCCCCCCCCCCCTCCACCTGTTTGGTTCAGACAGGAATCGGATTTGGAATTGTAATCAAATGGAATGGATTCTCATTCCCAAGGGAGGGGGAGGGAATGGTCATTCCCTCAAATGGGGGGATTCCATTCCAACAGGAATGGAAATCAGATTCTGATTCAGCCCAACCAAATGGTTGCAATAGGAATAGACCATTCTGATTCTGATTACAGATCCTTTTTCCCATGAACCAAATGGACCCTAAAATTTGATGGGAGCAGCCAAGGCAACCCAGGTCCTTCCGGTATAGGGGTTGTTTTGAGGAACAAAGTAGGAATTGTTGTGGCCTTTTCGGGACAGGCAAATGTAGAGGACTCAGTTAGAGCTGAGCTTCTTACAGGAACTGGAGGCAGTAATTTGGGCGTATACGGAGCATATTAAGAAATTCAAATGGATTACTAGTAACATGACATTAAGAGATCAATGAGAAAGAAGATCAACCAATGGAAAGCCAGACGCTTTAGCTAAACAAGGGGTTACTAGGGATCATTTACTCTGGGCTCAGTTGTAATTTGAACATGTTACTTGTGAGAGTTTGCACCTTGCAGCTCTCCCTTTTCTTTGCACCTTCATTTATCTATCAAAAAAAAAAATGCAGCAACAATTATTGGAGAAAGAAAGGAGAAGAAAACAAGAACCGAACCAGAATAACCCAAATTACACGACTGTCACTTTACAGAAGACCACTGAGGCTTGACTAACTTAATATAAAGGACAATACCCCTAGAAGACCCCAGATTACAAGATGATCCAAGACACAAAATAAATCAACAGCAATGCCAGCACAAACTACCCCTAACTTTCCAACTCCACCAATAAATGGCATTCAGCAATTTGTATTTTTTCCCATTTGTCTGCCTCTCCCTCCAGTATATTTGCTTGTTATTTCTTGGTGTTTGCTGGTTTTATCCCAGCTTTGATGCCTCTCTGTAGATATCTGAGGCTCCTTCCAGGCTTCCACTCAGTACAATAGCTCCAGTAAATTCTAAAAAAACAGCTTTTGAATCGTCTTGTTCACCTCCTCTGTCTCCATCTCTCAACCAATAACCTGCCCTTGCCTATCCAAATTAATGAGCCTTTTCTTTTAGCTTCCTAAATATAATACCAGCAGAAGTGTCACAATGATGCAACAAGTACAAGGGTACAACAACCCAGGCAGCTTTCCCACATGCACAGTTGCACCTCAATACCTCATGTTGCGTGATGTTTTCCAACAAAAGCAACTTACCCATTTGGCAAGCTTCATCAATTAGAACCTTTTCATCATCTTCACCTCATCTAAAGGGGAAAAATACCGCAAGGTCTGTCATTAAAATAAAAAAAATAAAAAAAAAGAGGAGCTTGACCCCAAAAGCATGACACAAACCACCACCTCAACACTCTCAAACAAGGGTGTCTCAAGGGGCACAACAGTAGGAAAGTCAGTAACATCCCCTACCTAACCACTAGCCCAACATCTGGATTCTCTTCAAGAACCTGTAAACTCTATGGATGTTTCACCAAGTTCAAACAATAACCATTTCCCACAAAAGAAAACTTCACCACCAGAAGTACAGAAACATCTTCCACCATAGCCTGAACACCATCCCCCCTCCCCCCAATAATCTCAATCGAGACAAATGACAGGGCAAGATGGTGCCAACAACCTTAACAACGAAAAGTGCCATAATCACAAAAAAGCCACAAATGAAAGAGATCTCACCTCAATAAGGATCTTAGGACTGATACCAGCGAACCTCATTAAAGATCCTAAGGTCATATGTATTATGGTTTTTCCAAATATAGGGTTTCAATAAAATTTTCCTAAGTTATTGAATTCTAATATCCTTAGTCAAAAAATAAATAGAAAGATCCAAGAAAGCACCAAACAGAATCCTAATAATCGAAACAAATTATTGGAACAGAGTATAACCTCTTTTAATTTTTCTTCTTCTAGTCAAGGAGAGATAAATAGACAAAAAACAATGTCTTAAAACAAACTTATCAATGAACAAAATTAAATCAAATAGGATACCATTTTAAAGCAAACCCTTAAAAAGTTCTTACATCCTTTAGTCTGAGTATGATCTCATTGAGAATAAGAAAAACCTTTGCACTCTTCTCCTCCTCCAAATCACTCTGCACAAAACATAGAAAAGATTTCAAAGAGAAAGGGAAGTTAATCAGCTATAAAATTAAGATCATTTAAAGCTAATGTACATCACATTAAACTTAAAATATTAATATCATACAGTATAACACCAACTCCTACTAATACATATTCAGAGTAACTTTGACCAGGTCAACATTTCAAAGAATAGGCATTCGAAAAACCATTTCAGACTGCCATTTTCCTGGACATAACAGGCCTGCCTGGTCCTACTCCTATCCAAATCTGACAAAATTAACAAACCATTGAAGACAACTTACAACATTTGCAGTGAAATATAAATAGTACATGAAGTGATAAATGTGATATAAAAGCTAAGGATTGACAATTATATAAACTAAAAATTAGTTATGTGTTCAACTGATGCCAAAGTTGGAAAGATTGAAACAAAAAGCAATTTGTTCAGAAAAAGCACTCATGGAAAAATTACCATAAATTATCAACTTAAAGCCTAACAAAGCATTAGAGAAGGAGGAAATAATTCATGAATGCAATATATGTATATTTGATTTCTTCTCATAAACTGCTGTTCAGTGAGAAGCAAGTGCTATACCAAGCTTATGAAGATCCATTTAGAAAATTTTCTCAAGTATCAGGGTGAGAGCAAGGATCAAAATTCCAATACAATACGCCCCGTATCGGGCGTATATTATCTTTGGGTCCCGATGCACCTGTTTACAGGTGTTTCAGGAACCCCTTTTTTTAATAAAAATTAAACTTAAAAAACATCCCCAAAACCAATTTTTGAAAAACAAAACTAAAAAAAATATAAACATACATGGTTTTTAGTACCAATACGCCTCTGCTGATACACAGGGGTGTATCAATACTTTGAACCATGGGTGAGAGGAAATGCCTTGCATTGGAATTCAAGACCATGTTCAACATGCCATCAAAGTAGCATAGAGAAGACAAATGATCTTTGACAGCTTTGAGCTGACTGAAATGTCTTCTCTTTATCCTCTTTGGATACTGAAGTTTTTCCCTTTTTCTTAATACAATTCAAGGCTAATGATCAAAAAAAGAAAGAAGACCATAGCATTGCCTTCATGGATATAATATGAAGAACAAGGGGATTCTCAAATAGCTATCTTGTGGACAATCTGAAAAAAGGCTTGATAGAAAGCACTACTGTGAAGTGGTACATAGGGTAAAAAAGTGTAAGCTTTTTTACTCATTGGATATAGATGACAATATTTAGGGGTTAGCAGATTCTGGTTTATTCTTCATCAACTAAGAGCATCAGATATTATCGTTGGATCCCTCCGCCCCCCCCCACCACCAAAGCCTCTAAATACATCAAATTAAACTTTGATGTAAGCAGCTTGAGAAACCCAGGCCCCTAAAGGATTGGCGGTGTTTCCAGGAATAGCCATGGAGACATTAAGGCTATGATCTCTGGACCTTCTTTTCTTTTTTTGAGAAAGTGATGAATTGTGCTGATAAAAGAAAAACAATAAAAAAAGTGAAGTGTACTAGAAGGACAGAGAGGGTTTAAAAGCAATGTTCTCTGAGAATGGCTAGGGAAAGAACAACTTTTATATTCACACAAGGATCAGCCAATAGCCTAATAGATGAATTGGCTAAACAGGGGGTGTACAGAAACAATTTGCATTGGGGAATTACCCCCATGGGGATAGAATGAAGTGCACAAGTTATGACAAAATCAGGGTTTAGGTAGCTTAGACTAAGGGTGCTCACGGTTCGGTATGACAAAATCAGGGTTTAGGTAGCTTAAACTAGGGGTGCTCACGGTTTGGTTAACCGAACCATGGGGTATTTTTATAAACCCAACCGACCTGATCGGTTTTTTAAATACCCTAACCAAAACCGAACCGATGCAACTGGTTAACCAGTGGACCGAGAGAAGAGAAGGTTTCAGTTTTTTATGCATTTAAAATAAAAAAAAAAATCTAAAACAGAGAACTGAGAGAAGAGAAGGTTTAGGTTTCGAACTTCAAAGAGAAAAAACAGAAAGCCAAGACTAACTAGGATGAATGCACAGGTAAATAGCTTGGTGAAAGTAGTATCAGGCACAATGTCTCCATATCCTATGGTGCAGAGAGTCACTACAGAGAAATACAATGCATCTACTAATCTGACTGTAGAATGACCAGTGAAACTTCCACTTCTCACCATATAAATGGAAACACCAGCCATGATATACAAGACCACACCGATGAAGGCTTGATGAACAATAGAAGGGGTCGATCGGGGGGCGGGGCACTGCTCCACAGAACTGGAGGGAACATCATTTTGATCTGCTAATAAGGAGGGGGGCGAATGGGACTTACGCTTAAGCTCCTTCCTTCTACCCAAGTTGGCTATGAAATTGACAAAGGAAGAACTGTTGGCCGTTGCTCGAGTGGTCTGTGGTGGGAGAATAGGAACTATGGCTTCTGTATTGAGAATATGGGCCGGAGGTTGACACAAGGATGAACCAAGATCAAGCCCAGCAGAGGAGATGAAATCCCTGGTCAGTGGTGCTGTGCTAGACTCCTCAGGCAATACTTTCTTATTGGAGAGCAGAAGCTCATCCATGGTGAACCTTTATTATTACATGGCATGAATTAAAGATCAAACCTCAACCAGAGCTTTTGATTGTGGAGATGGGGAGGCTTCTTTTCTCTTTTTTCTTGTTTTCTCCTTTTTCTCTTCTTTGTTTGATAAAGATATGACGCATGAGTAGGTCCAGCTAGTAGAGAAAGGCTGAAAGTTTCGATTTTTGAAGAGACTGAGAAACTGGCAGTCAGTAGTCTGGCACTCTGGCAGTCTGAGACTTTCAGCCTTTCTCTTCGAACCTTTCAATTCGATTTTCAAAAAAAAGTAAAATATATAATATATAATATTATATAAATATATATTACTGTATATATCGGTCGGTTCGGTTAACCGGCGGTTTTTTTTAAATGGTTAACCGAAACTGTCAGTTTTTTTAAGAATATCGAACCGAAACCAAACTGACCGGTTCGGTTAACCGATTTTTCGGTTCGGTTTCAGTCGGTTCAGTTTTTCGGGTTTTTTTTTTGCTCACCCCTAGCTTAAACTACCTATCATTTAAATAAGGATGCCTGGCACATTCATCTGTTACCATTCTTTTTCATTAGTGATAAGGCTTCAAGTTAACAATAGAAAACAGGGGGATTCTGAGTTCTGACCTTTAACATATGAATTAACAAAAAGTGAAAACATGCAAATCGACTTCTTAGAGACATGACATCAATTGGTGACTTAAGATCAAGAAGTAGTTCCAAAAGTTGATCACACCGTGATGTATAAAACCAAGTATGTTCCTGCACAATACCACAGAAATAATTAGTTTACAGTTATCTGCATATAGATACATGAACGCAAAATGGTTATACAGACCTCAAAAATTCGGCTCAAAGTGTAGTATGCTTCAGAGAGACCAATTCCATTAGATGCCTAATAAAGAAACACATAGAAATGATTTAAACCATATATGACTATTAGAAACAAATATTAACTTTCGGTAATATCATACAAGAGAACATATCAAATTAACATCATACCTGTAAAACTGGCTTAATGTAGTTAAAGATTATATCAATGAGGTCTTCATTGGCTCCTTCAATAAGAGAGCATGCAAACTCTACCACAATCAACCTGTTCCAGTAAATAGGTTACTATGTAATTTATCATTTTACTTTTACCTACATGTAGCCTATGATGACCAGATACAGATACGGGTAAAGAAAATGAGGAGACAACTCTCAATTTCTTAAAATCCTGATTCCTGGACACGGATACAGGTATGGCATCCTATACTATATGATTATATCATGTATGTGTAGATCTTTTATAGGATGACTTGTTAAGCATAAAATTTTACATACTATAGAACTGTCAATTCTATTGAGTACATCTAATGGCATCCATCCAGTATCATACCTGACACAGGTATGCCAAGCATGTAATGGCATCCAGGCATCATAGCTTGTAGCAAGAGAACCAATAAAATGTGAATTATTCCACCAATAAAATGTGCATTATTCCACATCATTAGGATATTAAACCATTTATTCTCACAGGCTTCAAAGAGCTTGATAAGATTCTTAACATCCAAAAGAAATGGAACAGTTGGTCAAGAAGAGAAAAATACCATAAACAAAGTGGTTCTTATATTTTCTTGCACAATAAGATACATGAAGCAGCCAAAATCAACCCTAGCTAGAAACACAACTCATGAGACTCCAAGGGAGGGTAATTTCATAAGATATTACACCAGCAGAGTTTTAAAAGCATAAGTCACAAGGCGAGGTGTGTGCCTTTTCGAAGCAAGGATCAAAAATACAAAAAATAAAAAATAAAAAAAATAAGAAAAATAAAAAAACCTATTATAAATGTTTAAAAAACCTATTATCTAAAATTAAAATACATAAACATAACATGTAAAACATATTCAAATGAAAATTTAAAAATAAAATCAAATATATAAAACATATTCAAGCATGTAGAACCCTCAATCTCTTTTTCCTAATTGCATTACTTCAAATAGCTAATGTGATGTAAAACATTTTGCATTCCTGATTTTACGAGCCACATTTGTACAATTGTACCAAGCCCCCTGAGGCAAGCCCAAACAAGTCCATGATAGGGTTTCAAATTCTTAATCGCTACATAAAAAATAATTTTATAGTTTTAAATGCCTTTTAAAAATATAATTTATCAAGATGAAAGAAAGAACAACATTAGTAAATAGAAAGTCTTCATCAAGGTTTATCTTTATGTTGAGATATGGTGTAGTTAGTTGGAAGAACAGCAAATAGTTGATGGCAAATTCCATAATTGAAGTGGAGTACATTGTCGCAAGTGAAGTTGCCAAGGAAGCTATATGGATAAAGAAATTTGTTCAAGAGTTTGTAGTTGTTTCTTCCATTGCATCTCCCATCCCTTTGTTGTGTGACAACATTGGGGTGATTGCTCAAGCCAATGAGCCTCGAGCCTACTCAAAGTCAAAGCACACCGATCGGAAATCCTACATTATTAGGGAGACATAGAGGTAAGGAAGGTAGCGTCAGCGGATAATATGATAGACCCATTAACAAAGCCACTTTCATAGAAAGTGTTTGAGAAGCATGTGGATAATATGGAACTTTGCTATGTACCTAATTGGATCTGAGTGCAGGTGAGAGCAGTCGGACAATTTATTATTGCATAAAATCAATTTATTTATGTGTCATTGGGTGTGTTTTTGCGTTTTGGCCCCAAACTCACATTTTAGGATAATGGTAATTTACTGGAGACTCTCATCATCAATATGTGATCTAAATGTTCCCAACCAGTGGGTTGACTTGGGCAATTAATCCAATTAAGGAACCACCAATGAAGTAAAATGATAGTGTTACAAGAAAAAGAAACCACCAATGAATTAACAGGAAAAAACTACAAAAATATTCATAAATGAAATAACATTAGGATAAAGGAAATAAGGAAACTCAACAATTGCAAATAACATCAAACCAGATTCATTTTACCTCTTTGAAACTTCTTCCTCCACACACTTTGAATCCCCTCCTTGTTTTGTATCAGTAATACCATTACGACTCTCCAAATTTGCATTAACACCAATACCATTTATAAGCTGGAACCTCTCTAATGACGATGTGAAAAGTTTCTTCACCTTAGAAGTCTCAGCAATAGAAGCCATGCATCTCATAGCCTCCTGAATGAGTAAAGAAAACAATTATGACTGTACATGATTTAACTTCTAGAAGGACATCTCAGAGCATGGAAAAAGATTCCCCAAAGAAAGGTTGGTTTTTGGCCCTCAGAAATATTCACAACAGATCCAGAATAAAGGGAAAATTTACCTAATATCTATGGCCTTGAAACTGTAGATATTTTGAAGAGTTTAAACGATATGATAGTATTAACCTTTTCAATTGATACTTGATAGGATAGTAGATTTTGTTAATAAAAATAAAAAATAAACCGAGTAAAATAGGGATACCCATAGGAATAAAATTCAATACAGAAATACATGCTCTCTACAATACCATCCATAAAACATGTTTTTCCCAGCAAACTAGCCAAACCATCAACTATTCTTCAAACCCAAAGTCCAATCTAGGATTAAAGAACTAATATACATGCATAATCAACTAGCTTAGATTACTTTCCTATCTTCCAAACTAGAATCGTTCAATTAGTCAATTCCTACCATCATCCTGATGGGTACTTCTACCACCAAAACAGACAAGAGAGGGGCAATGACAGCCCCCTAGCCATAGCCCACAAAACTTCAACAAGTATCAACTAAAATAGATAACAAGGTAAAATACAAGTATCCATACATCCATCACCTCCATATAGCCACTAAGTCCATCCTGCCCAACTTCTCACCAAGGAGGCGTCATGCATTAATCCAATACAGTCATATGCCTTTTAAAGTTCTATGTTGTAAATAAGACCAAGCTAGCCATCTCTAAGTCCTCAGTCCACATGTTAAGTTGCTATCATGATATTATCAAGAATTTACCTACCTTCAACAAAAGTTCCATATCTACCTCCCACACGGATCTCTATTACTTTCTTGATTCATTGAGATGACTTTTTTATAGATAACTGAAAACCATTATCAATGCAGAGAGTATTATTTACAATAATGCCAATCCAATACCTGTGATGTACTACAAAAGTAGTGGTCTTATGTGGCAGGCCTTTTTGAAGCAAGCTTCTTCAGGCAACCAAAAAAAGGGGACAGATGTTGTGGAGAGCCACAAGAGATGTGGTCTGATGGGTAGTATGGAAGGAGAAAAATAATAGGATCTTTCAAGGAATTGATTGATTGTATCACTATTAAGGTACTGCACTGGGTAAAATCAGCTGAGCTGTTGAAGGAGCTCTCGGTGGATGATTTTCAAGATCCAGTCTCAAGAGAGTTGGGCAGTTCCTACACAACAAAGAACAAAGTTGAACTTCGAGGGCAGCACATTTGGTAACCCAGGACCTTAGGGTGTAGGAGCCTTTAGAGATGGGGAAGAAAAAATATTGGCTCCTTTTTTGGAGCCTATGGGATTGAGTGATTCATTAAAAGCAAAGGTATTAGCTTTGCTGCAAGGACTGAGACTGGCTAAACAGATAGGACTGCTCCAGATTGAAGTGGAAGAGGATTCAAGGTTAGTAAATAGACTGGATGAAAGCTGGAACTTTGGGAATCCGGAATCACAGGCAAGCTATGAGATAAGTTTGGAGTCTTACAAAGGAAATTGAAGCAAACTTCACATGGGTTAGAAGAACAGCAAATGGCCTGGCTGATGCTTTAGCCAAACAAGGACCAAACAGGAGTGAACTTTTCTGCGCTGTATTGTAACACTGGATCTGTTTTTGGGATCAGCATTCCAGCTATGGAATGTCTAATATGTAATGCTATGATTTTAAAATTTAATTACAAAAGTTACCATGCCTTATCATCCCAACTATATGGGGATAAGGCAAGAATCCCAAATATTAGCTCACAAAAGCATTGCTGGTATCTGATGCTACAGCTTGTAGTTTTTCCCTTTCTCTTTTTCTTTTTTAGATCACAGGTTGCAGCTTCTAATTGGTTAGGTCAATTTGAGTGTCTTTGGAAATCCAAAAAACAAGTTAAGAGATCTGAAGAGGAAAAAATGACCTAAAAGAGTCTTCTGGCCTCATTCTCATCTTGAAGGAATTTCATATGAGAGGAATTGACAAAAACAAGAAGTGGGACTACTTAAGATGCAATTCCATTGAATTTGTAGGTATCTCAAGAATAGGGTTTTAAGTTTTCCAGAAATTTACTATTACTTTGAAATTACTATTTATGGTGAATTTCAGACTTAATAGTAATATCTATAATCACTATTTATAAATTATAGTAAACTCGTGATTTACTATTTTTGGTAATTTCTGGTGCCTTTAAATTAAATTAGCTTTCCTAGAATTAGGAAAAGTAACATTAGAGTTTGTTCACACACAAATAAGAAATAGATGTGTCAAGTAGATGTGTAAATAACAAGAAACAAATTAGAAATAGACTGTGAACCTTCAAATAAGTCCGCTTCTCTGGAGGTGAAATAAAGAATACATCAGTAAGGGCCTCAATCAAGTCCACAGAACATGATGAAATAACCTTGATGTTTCTTCTTGCAATTTTCTTTGAGTAGTGAGATGGTATAGTCCTAGATTCTGCAGAAGAATCTTTTACATGATAATCAGTTGCCTCTTTCACAAACTTGGTAGCATCCTTACTAGATTTTAAGATATTCCTGTTTTGGTTAACAAGTTCCTGCGGAGTCCAGAAAATAACAAATAAGATCTTGCCTCGCACAACTAAAAAAACAACTATGGCCATTATAATTGTTTTTTTATGGGATGTGGCCATTATAATTGTAAAAGAAACTTTTACTCACATTGATTCAAGTAGATCCCTACCTGCAATGCAGTGGCTATATTTTCATGCACATAGGAGGCATCTTTCTTGAGGAATGCTATGAAGAGTTTGGCTAAAGTTTCAAATTCCTGATCAATATCAGTAGGATAACGACAGAAGGAAGGTAGCAGGCCCCAAAAACCATGAGCATAACTCTGCAGATCATGTCGAAGTGACGCCTTTTTAACTGAAAATAACAAAAGCAAACATATCATACATGGATATAAATGGAAATCTTCAGTGAAATACATTAGCATGTAGAATCAGGTAACCAAATGACAAGCCCTATAGATAATAAAACCAAAGAGCTAGCTACATTATCAGTTCCATAAAGAAGGTATTATTAATCCCTTAATAAGAAATGATGGCAAGGTCTAGTTTCTGGATCTAGTGGTTCTTTCTCTTCATTTTCATTACTCTTCAAAATATGCACAGACCTCCCCTACCCCTCTTATCTTAGTTACACAAAGATAAAATCTTTTGAAAGGAGCATGTGTAAAATGATTTCTATTAATGTAAAGAGGGCGAGAAACCCTCAAATCATTTACAAAAAGATCAAGGAAGTTATTCCCTCTAATAGTGTAAAAATGCAGGAATAGAGAACTGGTTAAAGAAGAAAGTCTTGCTATGCTAAAATGGTTAAATAAATGCATATTGTTGGACCTTTAACTTCTATTATTAGAGAGGGATTTATAGATTCTAATTGGATGGATCATTGATGTGAGACTATAGGTGGCTGTGATTTGGGTAATCCAAAACTCTTCAGTGTATCAGTCTTTAGGAGTCATTTAGGAGAGATTGCAGGAACATTAACCTCAGTCCATGCAGATTTTTTTAATGTCTTGTAATTCCTTTTTTGATATCTTTCGAAGGGCTACACAACAGGGGTAGCCCATAACCCCCCCACCCCAGGAGCAGGCAGGATTCAATCCTAAGTCTCCGCTACGACTAGAAGGAGACCTTACCAACCGGTTGGTTGGCACCTTGCCAGTCCATGCAGATTTTTTAACTAGTAAAACAAACTTTTATAATCATCAAAAGAAATTGAACAGTGATGCAAAGGAAAAAAAAGAATCATCACCCAACAAATAGACTTAACCCCAGTTTTCAGTCTTCACCAATGTTCTAAAACGCGGAGGCGTGACGCGAGGCGTTCCACTACCTAGAGGCGTGAGGCGTAGTTTAGAACACAAGGAGGCGTGAGGCGTAGTTTAGAACACAAGGAGGCATAAGCCTCCTTAAGAGGAGGGGGCTTAGGAGGAGAATGAAGAGGAAGGGGGGATCTCATTTTTTTATTTATTTTTAATAAATTTTTTTATATTAAGAAGAATAAAGATGCATAACATTAGTTGAAAGGGGGGGTCTTGTCGAAAAGGGGGTGGGGGGTCTGGGGGGCGAAGCCCCCCAACTGAAGGGGCAGGAGGCAAACCACTTTTTTTCCCCTTATCTTTTCTTCCCTTCCCTTTCCTTTTATCTTTTTTTCTTCTCTTTCTTTTTCTTTGATTCTTTCCCTTCCCTATATTTTCCTTTCCTTTCCTTTTTTTCTTTTTTCTTTTTTTGTCTTTTTATATAAGATGTGCATAAGGCGCATGAGGCGTACGCCTCTAGCACGCCTCATGAAAAAAGAGCATGAGGCGTACGCCTCTTGCACCTGAGGCATACGCCTAAGAGGTGTCAACGCCCCTAGCATACGCCTCAAGGCGTTTTGGAAGCGCCTCGCTTGGAGGCACCTCCAGGCGTACGCCTCCCACACCTTTTAAAACACTGGTCTTCACACAAGATAGAGAAGGTTTGCAAGGGAAAGGGTAGAAAGAAAGAAGAAAAGAGAGGATGAGGAGGAAAGGAAAAAGTTCGAAGAGAAGAATTTGGAGCCAAAAACAAAAGTTAGGAGATGTGCCCCTTTTCTTAGAATTTATATTTATGCATTCAAATTATATTTAAGCCCTTAATAACAAGAAACAAATAAAAGGACAAGAGTGCCCTCAAACAAACAAACAATTCACACAAGACTCCCCCTCAAGCTAGGCATAAGATTTTCTTTAAACCTAGATTTGGCTTGACCCGTAGTCAAACAATATGCAAGTTGATCACATGATTTCAGAAAAGGTAAACACATATCTCCACTAATCACTCTTTAACAAATGAAATGCCAATCAACTTCTATATGCTTTGTGCAATCATGCTGAACCAGATTGTTTGCAATATTGATGGCAGCCTGGCTGTCACAAAATAGTTTGGATGATCAAAAACAATTTCAATTTTCGTCAAAAGAGTCCTTAGCCAAAGTAACTTAGAGGCCCCATGCGCCATTGATCTATATTCAACTTCAGCACTAGATCTTGCAACAAGAAATTGCTTTTTGTTTCTCCAAGAAACAATATTTCCTGCAACAAATGTACAGGATCTAGATGTGGATCTAGCCCAATCGTCATTAGCATAAGCCTCTATCATGAGATGACCATTAGGACCATATAGAATAGGATATGTCACAATGAGTAAAGCAAAGATAGAGCAGCATTCAAACTAGATGTCGGCACATACCCTTGTTTGGGAGGACATCACCATCAGCCCCATTGATTTTGTGGATTGGATCTACAGAAGTGTCTACAGACTTAGGACCAAGTTGACCTATCTCTTTCAGCAGATCTAAAACATACTTCCTATGGGATATGAATACACCCTTCCTAGATCTTGCAATCTCAATTCCAAGGAAATATTTGAGTCCACCAAGATCCTTAATCGCAAATTCAAAGAACAAAAATTGCTTTAGTTGTTGCGTTTCAAACTAGTCATCACCAAAAGAGTATGACCAACATGAGATTGGGAGCGATGTTATTAAAATCTTATGATTTACGATACAATTCATGATTTTAATCATGAATCCAAAGGGTTCCCATTTGAATCTTATGTCTGAATCCTTTTATGCAAAAATCTTAATAATATTGTTAATCATGGATTTACAATGGCTTTCTATCAAGATTGGTGAGAAGTAGTGAAAGATGAGCTATTGGAAGTCTTTAAGGAATTCTAAAACACACATATTGTGAGCCCCGAAGTTGATGCAAATTTCTTGGCTCTAATTCCGAAAACATCTAATGCTAGCCAACCCAAGGATTTCCGACCCATTAGTTTGGTGACTAGTATCTATAAAATAATTGCTAAAGTTCTGTTATTGATGATTAAAGCAGTACTTCCATCCCTCATCAGCCAGTTTCAATGAGCTTTTGTTCAAGGGAGACAAATAATTGATCAAATCCTAATAGCCAATGAATGTGTAGAGGAAATGAAAAGATCTAGGAGAGAATGATTTGTTTGCAAATTGAACTTCGAAAAGGCTTATGATCTGGTGGTCTAGAACTTTTTAATAGAGGTGATGCAAAAGCGTAGATTTGGGGAGAGATGGTGCAATTAGGTGTTTGGTTGTATTCGGTCTTGTCACTATTTTATCCTTGTTAATGGAGTGGTGATACTCTCTCACCTTTTCTTTTTACCTTACTAGCGGATGTTTTTAGTAGACTCCTCTCTAAGGCTGACAGGGAAGATGAGATTAGGGGTTCAAAAAAAAAGATGAGATTAGGGGTTGGAGAGTGGGGAGAAACAATGTTCCAATTACTCACCTTCAGTTTGTAGATGATATCATAATTTTTTGTGAAGGGGAAGATACTAGGAGGGTGAGGAATTTAAAAGAATTGGTCAAGAAGTTTGAAAGGATATCAAAATTTAAAACAAATTTAGACAAGAGTTGTCTAGCAAGGATTAATTTGGAGGGGAATGCCTTACGTGCGGTAACCGAGTGCTTAAAGTGTCCTATCACCCCTTGGCAAATTCTAGAGAGCAAATTCTAGAACCCAATTTCAGAGAGATGTGAAAGGAGGCTGGCTACTTGGAAGAGAAACTATATTTCCTTAGGAGGTAGGATTACCCTAATAAGATCAGACTTGACTAACCTACCAATTTATTTCCTCTCTATCTCTAGAATTACACCAAAGGAAGAAAAGAAATTAAAGAAAATCATGAGGGACTTCCTTTGGGAGCCAAGTTAGGCTAGAAGACACCACCTAATCAAATGAGAGATTGTATGTAGAAGTAAGAAAAGTGGTTTAGGTATTGGAATGTGATTTGAGAATGGCTATGATGCTGGTGTATCCATAGTTGTTAAGGCGACACCTAGGCAACAAGGCAGCCACCCTTGGAGGCTCACCTTGCCAAGTCGCCACGCAATTTTGTGTACTATCTTGTATAATACATTTATATTATTATTTTTTTGAGATCATAATTATAAAAGACATTATTAAACAAAAATATTCATTTTTGTGTTTATAAACTATTTGTTTTTATTATTTTCTTATTTGTTAGGATTTAATCAACACAAACATTGCTAACTGCTCTAGGATATGCTTTTGGAATTTTTTTCTTTTTTCTTTTTCTTCTCATAAATATGTTGATTTTCTAGATTAACATGAAGTTTATACTTTTCTTATGAAAAATATAGATAATTATTAAGGAAAGATGGTTATGGAACCTAGGGAACTACCCTAGGATATGTGGTTTTTACTTAAAAAAAGGAAATTTTCTAAACTACCCTTATGGTTTAGCTAATTGACTAACTCTACCCTTACTGTTCAGATATTGTCATAAAGTACCCTTAAGCTTTCTGACAATTGGCATCGCCATTAAGTGCTAACGGAAAAAATGAAAGGTCTAATTTGCCCTCCACTATTCCTCAAATTTTCAAAATAAAACCCATCTGATAAAAAATTTGAAGAACTGTAATCTCTCACTCCATCCAATCGATAGCCCCAGTTTAGGTAGAAGAGGAACCAATAAAACATGAATATCACTTTAAAAAGAAATCCAGCAAACCCAAATAACATTTCAACTGTTTAGGGAAAGGCACACTGTAGTTCAAAGTATCAACGTCCTTCATGGGAGGCGGCACCAAATCTCAAGTATTGGTTAAGTTGTTTTAGTTATTTACCTTTGGGAGACCATTCTGGTTGCGGCACGTGAAGTGGCAAAGAGAGCTTGTTTTTCTACAACTTCTACTGCATCTAAGACCTTGTTTGCACTTCGCCACTTCCAAGGTTGAAACCCTGGTTATTTAATCTTTTATGTAGATAAAAAAAACATTATTGTAATTAATTTATACATTTAAACCTTTAAAATTATAGTTTACAGGTGAGAGTA